ATTTTAACACACCCATCCCCTTTTGCTTGCTCAGTTTGGAGTAGGCATATATGTAATTTCTTTGAAGTGAGCAGGACAGTATTTCAGCTATAAAAGGTTAGTGTCTGGCTGTACATGTGTGTCCTTGTGAGGTCCTGGGTAGAACCTGTTGTGTAAAATAAGCTGCCATCCTCCTACCTGGCTGAACAAGACCTGCTTGCTCCAGCATTTCTATAGATCTTAGTCTCCAGAATCTTAAGAGCTTAATTCTCTGTATGAATGCTGGGAAGAGGATTTCAAGATCCTTGAGAAGAAGAATAATGAAAATACTGGCTCTGCAATTGTTTCCTGGCTGCTTAAACCTTACTCAAATGGATCTATAGCCAGAACAGCTGATTAAAGGTCAGCTTGGTGGGAAATGTGAATGAAGGACTATTAGGTTTCTTTGCAGGTTACTCAGGTTATGTTTCTGTCATGGCAGAAACCGGGGTGCCTGACCTCTGCCTCCTCTTTTGATTTCACCTTGCTTGGGAGCTTCCCTGACAATGGGACCAGGATTAGATCATGTTGAGGGAGTTGTCTCATTCAGCTTTGGAAAGTGAGGAGGCATCTTCCAGAGGCTCCTGCTGCTGCCCTTGAGCAGAGCCCAGCCCTGATGTATCAGTGACATCAGAGGACAGTACTCCTGCCCTGCTTTCTCCCCTAGCTAACTCCTAGGGCAGTACAGAGCCCTGCCTTTGGCATGTGAGTGCAGCCACAGGTTTGTCTGTGTGTTCTTTTCTTCCTGAGAAGCTGCTGGTGCAGCTGGCTCTTGGTGTCCTGCAGACATCCATACCTCCCTGAAGCAGCTGTGTCCCCAAAATGCTGTGCAGGGCTCCTGGCTGGGGCCTCTCCTGCACAGACACCCCTTAGCTATGTGCAGAATGGCTCTGTTTGTCTGGGCAAGCCTGTGTAGGGGGGTGTCTCCCTCCAGTTCTCCTTCCATGGCTTATGGTTTATTTTGGGACTGATGTGGGTGTAAAGTGTCAGCTTGAAGCAAAACACTCAGCGTGGACATTGAAAGCACCGGGCCAGGAGGCTGCTTGCTGTCCTGAAATGCTGGAATAACTTGGATGAAGTGAAACTGTCCAGTGGCCAAAAGGAAACCAATTCCTTCCTTATAGCCATCGGCTGATTGAGGTTTTCAGACCTCAGAGGAGAGTGCTCCTGGCATGGAGCACTTTCTCTAGGAACAGTTCTTCACAGCTCTTAACCTGGACAAAGGCTATCTGTGTACTACAGTCTTCCTGCCCCAGCTCCCGTCTTGTACTTGGAGTCCCCTATAACTGTGGTGCATCCTGTTGTTATTCTCTACTTCTGTGGGGTTTAATTAAAATGCAGGTCTTTAATTTTTAATTTTTCCTTCCTGTTGATTCGACTGTCTCTGTGTGAACGAGGTCTCAGTGCAATTACTGTGCTCCCTGTGGAGAAACAGGCATTTAATTCAGCCAGCAGACTTTTTCTTGGAGGGGGTTTATTTTCCTGATCTTCCTACTCAGAGGGATGCAAAAGCAAAACATCCAGTGAGTAAAGAATACGACACTTTACTTGGTTGTTCTGGACACGTTTGCTGCATCTCAGTTACCAAAATGTTGTGTTCCTTACAGAGAGCTGCTTCCTTAAGCAAAGGGCTTGTGATGAAGCTGCTCAGCACAACTTGCATTAGCAAGGCGAGTTGAAACCATTGGGGCAGTCGAGGTTTCTCTTCAAAACTCGGTTCTTGCAGCAGTGATGTAAAAATACGGAGTTTAATTGTAGCATTAAGGTGTCTCATGATTTGTTGACCTGAGAACAGGACCAGGGAAAAGTACCTTGTGCCTGCTGGCCTTGGGGACACATCAGGGAGCAGAGCAGAGAAGAGAGGCTCCTGTTGCTGTTTGGGACCCAGCTGAGCTCCTGGCAGGGAGATCAACTCTGAACCTTCAATAAAGAGTGGAAATATTGGCTCTCTGATTTCCATTGTCCTTATTTAAGTCTGCTTCAGCTAACTTAGTGCTTTTGCTAGCTGAACTCTCCTTGTACAGCTGTAGGTCACTGCTGAAACATGCAAAGACAGGATTTCTCTGCACCTCCTGATTTGCAGTCCCAGGCTTTCAGAATACTCAGGCTCTTTCAGCTCCAGACCTGAGGCTTCCTCAGTTCCCCTTGTGTGTGTCAGGTTATTTTCTCTGTGTTCACAGAGATCATATCTATATGTATCAGACACTTCCAAATGTAGCCTCGTTCTTTCTCCATGTCTTTCCAGCTCCAGCCGTGTCTGTTCTGTTTGACTTACTGGTGTTTAACCTAACAGGCTTGTTGATAAAAGTGGCTTGTGAGGCTGATCCCTGTTCTGACCCCTGAGCTGGGAACACAGTAAAACCTTGCTGAAAGAGAAGTGCAGTGTTATCAGAGGCAGTTCTGGCATACAGATCCTCCCTGTACTGTGAGTAGTTCGGGATCCTCATGCTGGTGGCAGGGACACACTTGGCATGTGCCTTTTGTTGTGATTTGAGTAAGGTATGGCCCCTTTCTGCCACATGTCCTGAAGATTGCTTTGATTTGTAAGCTGCCAACTTAGACTGAAATAGTGTGTTGAGGGTAAGAGTGATTTGATGGGATTTAAACTGATTTTTATCCATCCCCCACACACCCTGCCCCCCGCCGATGGAGAGGATAAACATTCCATTGTTTTTTGTGTGAAGTGCCTTTTAGTACCAGCAGCCCAGCACTGGGGGATGAAGAAAGCAGATGTGTCCCATGTCTTTTTAAACTGCTTTTGTTTTTCTGATCACTGTAAAGGAGGCTTTTAATTTTTTAAATTTTTTTTTCCCCAAGCAGCAAGTGCTCCACAGGGTTTGATCAAAGCTCATAAATGATGAATTGAAGGAATGCCCGGTGGAGAACAGAACGCCCTCCTTGTGCTCTGCTCTGTGTGCTGAGAACACCATTGTTTCTTCCCGTACCTTTTCCATCCTCGAGCTCGGGGCTGCAGAGAAAAGGCCTTTGTTCCTTGCCTGTCAGCTGAGACAATGGCAGTGTGTTGTCCTACCTCTGCTCTCAGCACCTGACTGGCCAGAGCTCTGTGGGTTTTGGCAGGCTGAACACAATTGTCCTCCAGCTCCAGCGTTACAAAGAAAACAAACGGCTTCACAGCCTCCCTCCTCCAGGTCCTGGCCCACGTGTGTCTGTCTGTGCCTGCTGTTTCCTTTGGGATGCACAGGAAAAGCCAACACCCTCTCCTGTGCTCCAGGTTGAGAGGTGCAGCTTCACCTGACTCCCAGTGCACACAGTGGGACAGGAGGGGACAGAGGCCCTGGCAGTCCTGGTTTTTTGTACTTCTTTGTAACTTCTGCAGCATCTCTGGTTTTGCTGTCTTGTGATACAAAGCTCTGCAAAGGAGAGAGCTGTAGTCCTCTCTTGTCTTGGTTTTTGGGGGTTTTAGCAGGAACAAGAGCTTTGCAAATGAGGAGGGAGAGCAGATGGCCTGGGCTGGGGTGGAGAAGAGGCTGTCAGGGACATGTTTGGAGAGGTGCTGGAGTGCAGACCTTGAGCCTGGCTCTTCCCTGCTGCTGGCCCTGTGTGAGAGACAGGCAGAGCCACGGGTGCTTCAGGATAAGAGCAGCAGTACTTGCTTCAACACCTGCCCCCACTCCTGTTGGGAAGAGCCTTTAGCTGCATCTCTCCTGCTGTTTTACACCCAGGCTGATCCTGTCTGCCCTCAGGCATTGCAGCAAACCAGTGGAAAAGGTGGTGGAGGTGCAAGTTAGCCTTGCAGTGCTGCATTGTCAGGCACCTGGCACCAGTGTGAAGTACTGTAGTTCAGGTGCAGGCTTCAGTCAGTGGCACTTGTGCCAAAATCCAGCATCAGCTCCTCTTTCATTCCCATCTCCTGCTGGACTTCACCTCTCCATGAACAGCTCTGATGTTACACTTGATCTGGGAGAGAGAGCTCAGCAGTGGGTTTGAGAGGAGCAATGCTGATGCCTGCTAACATTCCATGCCAGAGGCCAGAGATGCCCATGCCATGGAGTAAGGACCTGACACAAAGGCAGTGCTGGCTCCTGGCCAGTGTGACAGATGATGTCTAGTCACTACAGCCCGCCCAGCAACTTTCTGTGGCCTCTGCTATCCTCAAACTGAGCTGTCTTGGCTTCAGGTTTATCTTTGCCTGAAGTTTGTTTAGGGGTATGCCTCTGAATTCCCTCAGCTGGTGGTAACTTCTGTAAAACTGTGACAGCACCAATGTTCCCGATACCCAGAGCCTGAACTGGGCTGCAGAGGCCGAATTCCATCTGCTCCCAAGCTCCCTGTGCTGGGAGGCAGAAGTGCAAACAGCTTTAACCAGAACAATGTAGCATTGCCTGGGTGAAGAATGTGATTTACTTGCATATGTGTGGCATGTGAACACCAGGGCCAGAGGGCACTATTCGAGTCCTCTCCTTTCTCTTTCCTTTTTTTCTCCCTGCCCTTGCCTGAGCACTTGCTAGCACTTTTGTTTGGGGGTGAGCAGAAGAATGTGTGGGTTGACAAGAAGAGGTGGGAGCGAGATCTTTGGGAGCCAGGAGTCTGAAACTGAAAAAGCCAACAATTTAGGAAAGCCTTGTAGACAAGTTTAAAATTAGATTGACCCTATGCTTTCATATTGCTGGAATTTAATTCCTCTGACCCTGAAGCTTTTGGTCTGGCTCAAAGCAAGGGTTCCCAGGCTGTGGTCAGTGGAGGCCAGTGCTGTCTGGGGCTCTCGTGTGGCCATGGGTCTGTATCAGAGACAGATGCACCCCCTGGCCACCTCCTTGTATTTATGAAAGGTTGGAGAAGTTCAGTCTTGAGAAGCCAAGGAAGTCTCATATATTTCTGCTGTCTTTGTCTGTATCAGCGTGGGGCTTGTGTCTGGAGCCTGTTCTCCCTCAAACTGGGATACTGTTGCGTGTAAAAACTGATCAGAGGTTTTCCTTTTTCAGACATGATTGTAACTGTTTCTCTTCTGTTCCTGTTTGCAGGTTGTGCAGCTTGACATTAAAGAAACTGGTAGTCTTAAAGGAATTGGATAAGGAGCTTATTTCCGGGGTCATTGCTGTCAAAATGCAGGTAATTACTGCCCAGGTCTAAGAATTGTGCTGTTTGACTAAGAACACTGGCAGGTGTCCAAACTGAGCTTTACCCCCACGTAACGATCCACAGATTTCTGCAACTTCACGTTGCATCCACAGACTTCTTCCCAAGTCCATCAGGGAGTTCTGGATCTGTGTAGACTCTTTTCTTACCCTTCTCCCATGTTCCAAACTCATTTCACTGTTGTAAGTGAAGAATATTCTTCACCAATGGCTCAGCATGAGCTTATCTGCATGTAAAAATGCTCTTCACAGATCACATGTCCCCTTTCTTCCTGAGCTGGCACTAAATCCAAGCCTGGATCTCTGTTTACCAGTCTAGGGCTGAATATCTTGGTAATTGGGTCTTGGTTTGGGGGAGTCTGGCCTTCCCCTGCTGCTGGGCAGCTCTTCTGTTGAGTCTGCAGCCAAGCTTGTCAGTGGGTTTGTAGGGTGCCTGTGCAGACTAATTGCTTTTCCTAAAATACAGTTGTCATCCTAAGTAAATATCCCACTTCACAGCAGATGTTTGTGCCATTTAATGAGGTGCCTCCATGTAGGTCACTCTGCCTGGAGGGGGGAAGGAAGGGAGCTCGGTGCGTCACAGCATCGCTGGGCCCACGTGCTCCCATCACTGCACACCCTCAAGTGCTTAACCAGGAAAAGCCTAGCAGACCTATAAGTAGAACATTAACTGGGCTGAAAAGCTGCTGCTTTTCAAATGAAGAGCTAAGCAAACCCCTGCAGAGAGCTGGTTGTGTCAAAGCACACAAAGTCTCATTTGGAAGGTGAAATCAGGAAGGAAAAACACATAGCTGAGGATTTAATTGGTATCTCTCATCTCTGAGTGGTCCAGCTGGGATAAAAATGTGCCAGTCTTAAGTGGGACGGGGTTTGTGCACCCAGAGCAGAGGGCAGAAAGGCAGAGAATTGCTTCACACACCTGGATTTGTGGCAGCCTCAGAAGAAGCACTGCTGTGGGTTTCCAGGCTGTCAGATACTGCTTATCAAGGCTGAAAGCTTTCCATATGTTTGTACTCCTAGATGATTAATGCATCACTGTAAGCACCTGAGGCTTGTCAGAGACTGATCTGTGCCCAGAGAGTGCCAGGCTTGGGTTGAAGAATTCAGAAGCTTTTATTAGAGCAAGACCTTCTTTTCCTGTCCAGGTTACTGCTTGCTTACACTTTCTGTAGGTGAAAGCTTGCCCAGACCCACAGATCCAAAGGGAATTTTAACACGTGGGAGTTTCACGTCCCATTTTGTGTGTGGGTTGTGGTCTGCCCTGCTGCAGGGTTCAGACACTGGAACCTGAGCAGTCCTCTCCACACCAGGCCCTGCTATTAAAAATCCCTTCAGAGCCTGCAGGTTATCATGCTGATGCTGACAGGCTTTTCCAGGGATGCTTTATTTGCCAGCACTCAGGTTTCTGACATGGCTCTTGTTTGAGGCTGGTGGCACTGGATCATCAGATACAAGGTCTCTGTCAAATGACTGCCTTTGTGTGGGGAATTGCACTCAAGTTGTCAGACACCAGAGCCCTTCCAGAGGGGATGACTGAATTCAGACCTAATGAGAGCATCTTACCTGCATCTCCCATGTTTCCTTGCAGCCTCCAGAGCAGAGATGTTCAAAGAGTTGTCAGCTGTGTTTCCCGAGCCGTTGCTCTGTTTATCTGCTGCAGTCTTTTAAAAGCAGCTATATTTGGTCTTTCATTAGGTTTTGGTTGCGTAACCAGCAAAGCAAGATTGCTGCCATTAGGAGCTTTGCACAAATGGAGCAGCTGCCGCTGTTGCCAGCGGCCAGGCTGGCTGTGCCTCACTGGCACGTGTGCTGCTTGTCCTGGGGGCAGCCCATGGGTGCCTGGCTCTGCTCTGTGTGTGCTGTCCCAGCTGCTGGAGCTCAGGCACCTCGGTGTTCCCAGAAAGGAGCTGGAGCTGTGCAGGGCTGAGGCAGGGCTGCAGATCACAGCCTGAGCCGTGCCTTTGGGGAGGAGGGGATGGAGACAAGGCTCTGCTGCTGTCTCATCTGCTGATGCTCTCTGAGGCTGATGGGGCAGACCACATTTCCCCCTGGATGTAGCTTGGAGGTGTTTACCCCCCCAGTCTGTCTCTGATTTCCCAGATGCTGCTTTTTTGAGAGCTCCAGTTTTGTGCTTCTGGGAGATCAGCCCGTCTGGACAAAGCCAGATCTGCAGCCTCAGCAGAATGCTGAGCCAGAGACCTCTGAAACTTGCACTGTGTTTGAACAATGCAGAAGGGTTTGCTAGGCAGCAGTCTGTCATGTTTTCCTGCTAGTTTTCCTTCAAACATTGCCTGAAATGAAATGCTCACACAGTAAATAGCCTGGTAACTCTGTTAGCATAAGACAGCCCACACACAGGGTTGATTTGGAGTTGCCCTGTGATACATTAAATCTCCAGACTCCACTGAGATGCTTAGTGAATTTTTTCTTTAATATCCCTAGCTACTGGCAATTGTTTAAACAGGTTAAAGTCCCCATTTTCCTCAGAGAGGGGTGTGTGCACAAAAAGAAAAGCCTAGTCTGCCATGGCTAATGGCAGAGATTTAAGCATGATGCTGCAGCTCCAGACCCAGGAGACAAGAGCCTTGTACCTATTGGCTGAAGTGAAAATAGGAGACTTCAACTCCGGGGATGGGGGTTGACACAGAGCTTTCCAATGCTGGGGTTTGGCAGAACAAAAGCTGCATTGTTGCAGTTAGGGACAGTAAATATGCCCAAATCTTTATTAGTCAAATATCTCCCTTTCATCTCATTAATATTTCACAGAAGTACAAGGTCAGAGCCATCCGTTCACTTCTCTGTGGTAGTCCCTGACAACGTTTCCTGGTGTGCAGTAAACAGGGCTGGGATGGGATGTGAGAAGTGCCTTCGGGGCAATTCACCCGCTGCTGGACTTTGTTTCCCTGCAGGGCTCCAAGCGCATCCTGCGCTCCCACGAGATCGTGTTGCCCCCGAGTGGACACGTGGAGACAGAGCTGGCGCTGACCTTCTCTCTGCAGGTAGGGCTGGGGCCGGCTGCTCCTGCCGGGGCTGCTGCTGCTCCCCGGGGCTGCTCTGCAGGGAGCAGGGCTTCCTGGGGGCTCTGAGGCGATGCAGGGCACCCTGGGGGTTCCCAGGGGATGCAGGGCTGCCTGGGGGCTCCCAGGTGATGCAGGGCACCCTGGGGGTTCCCAGGGGATGCAGGGCTGCCTGGGGGCTCCCAGGTGATGCAGGGCACCCTGGGGGTTCCCAGGGGATGCAGGGCTGCCTGGGGGCTCTGAGGTGATGCAGGGCTGCCTGGGGGCTCTGAGGTGATGCAGGGCACCCTGGGGGTTCCCAGGGGATGCAGGGCTGCCTGGGGGCTCCCAGGGGATGCAGGGCAGCCTGGAGGCTCCCAGGGGATGCAGGGCAGCCTGGGGGCTCCCAGGGGATACAGGACTGCCTCGGGGCTCTGGGCTGCAGGTCCTGGTGAGCAGCAGCACAGCTTGTCTGAATCTCCTCTAAGGGGGCTGGAGCAGGGTGCTGACTCCCAGCTCCTCCACAGGGCATCCTGGAGCAGGAAGGCTTTGCAGGCTCTCCTCTTCAAGGCATAGCTGTGGCAAGAGCTGAAGCAGAGTGAGTTGGCTCTTTTTTGCCTTTTGTTGCCTTGTTAATGAGCAGGCAGTGGAGGATGGCAGCCGTGAGGCTGGTGTGGAGTGTCAGGCTGACAGAAGGCAGTAGTAGGAATGAGTCAGGTGAGTCTCTGAGTTGCAGTTGCTGAGGGAGGCACCATTTGGGGAAGCAGGAGCAGTGTGCTTATAGTTACTCCTGGCTTTGGAGTCACAGGAATAGCTGTGAATTGGAACAACTGTATTTTTTGGTTCCTCTTTTCAAAGCCTGCTGCCCTGGTGCTACCTCCTGAGCAGGGAAATAAGGTAAATAAGAGCTGGCTTGCTGAAAGTGAGAGAGAGGATCCTGCACACATAGAGCAGAGCCAGACAGACCTCAGGAGCATTGATACCTGGATTATCTTTGTTTTGTGACTGTGGGTTAGAGCTTGACTTCAGGACTTTGATCTGGTAAGGAGAAAGGCTCAGGTGATGATGTGAGGCTGGTTGTTACTCAGACCTGTGCAGAGCTGAAGCAGGAAAGCTTTCACTGCAGACAGATGATAACCCTGCAGCTGCCCAAGCAGATGGCTGGGTTAACTGCAGCATTGCATCCCCTGTTTTATGAACAGGAATAACCAAGCTGCATGCCAGGAATATCTACACCTGAATCCTGTGGCTGCAGCTTTCCCATGGTTGGGAGCAAAGCTGTAAGACAAGCCAGGTCTCCCTCTGCCAGTCCTGTGTCAGCAAGGAGCAAGTCTGCAGATCTTTTTGGAATTCATTTGGATTATGGTGTGTTGGGTTTTTTCCTGGGGCTCAGAGCAGTGCTGCAGCAGGGTGCAGAGCACTGCCTTTAACTCTCTTTCCCCTGATGGGGGATTGAGCAAGAGCAGGGGAGAGGAGGGGCTGTGGCACCGAGCCTTCAGCAGAGGTGAGTGAGCTTAAAGCAGAGAGGTGCTGCTGGTCTCTGACTGCAGGAAGGGTTGGTGGTCTTGGATGCAGTAAGGCTTGGGAAGCATTCATGAAACAGCACAGCTGGATTTTTATGGCAATTTTTACTGCTGCTTAATTGGACAATGGCTGAGAGCTACTTCTAGCTAGCAGCCATAGCTTAATTCAGCTCCAATCTGAATTTAGTGCCTGGGATATATTTGAGAGTGGCCATGGGCCACAAAGTAAAAGCATGTGGGTGTCACAGAGCAGGGTTTTGTTGTCTTGCAGCAGTCAGTATCTCCATATTACACAGTCAGCTCTTGACACCTTGTGCCTGCCTTTGTGCTGCCTGCCTGGATTTGCAGCCCCTCGTGCCTTTGTGCTCCCTGCCTGCTCAGTTCCTTCTCCTGGGTGACATTCCTGTCCTTTGCAGGGAGTGTTCCCTTGCCAGAGCTGAGCTAGGGGTGTTCAGCTAGGGTGAGCAGCCCGTGGTGTCTGGCCTGCCTGTGCTCAAAGTGAAGGGAGGAGTTTCCTGCTGCCCTGTCACACAGCTGAGAATGGAGTTTGTGCCCTGTGCAGTCCTGCTTCCCCTCCTAGCCAGGGCTAAAGCTAAGCCAGCAGCAGCCCTTCTGGCAGGTGAGCTGTCATCACCCTTCCTGCTGGAATGTCTGCTTCTCCTGACCCACACTTCTGTGGCTTCACAGAGCCCAGGGAAATTCCCCACATATTCCAAGTACAACATTACAGCTCTCTGGCATTAATTAAGAGCTCTGCACTTAATTCCTGTCTTTAATCTAATAAACCTTTCCAGATGGGAGAGATGACATTATTGGGGCTTCAGAAAAAGTCTTGCCCTGACTATCACTGTTCTGATGTGTGCATTTTTTCACCCCTCAGAGGTGCCTTGAGGTGTTTGGTGTTCCCTCTAAAAGCTTTCATACGTTTTTAGCCAAACTGTTTTCCTCCCCAGTCTCTGTCACGGACAGACAGACACTGAAAAGTTTGTGTTGAAGCAATTCTGAAGAATTGATAAGTCATGGCTGATGTTAAAAGAGCTGGACTGTGCTATCAGATAGCTCATCTTTTCTTCTGGAGGGCCTTGCTCTTGATGGAGGAACTGAGTGGCCTGAGTCTCTCTGTTCCTTCCTTTACCACTTCTGTGAATGCTCATCAGAGGTGGCCAGAGCAGTACAGCTGAGAAAAACAGAAACTTGTACATCTATGGACTTGAGCTTTTGAATCCCAGAAAACTGGAAACATTCAAACTGAGCTGGCCTGGGAGCAAGGGTGACTTGGGACTTCACTTCTAGGTTTGTACTTAAACAGCCTTGGTGTGGCTCAAATGCTGTGAACTGAGAGCAAGGAATCCCTCTTCCCTGCTGCCCTTCCAACATGTAGAAGGGCCCCAGAAGCAAGGAAATGGTAAATTTGAGTGTGAAAGGTGCCTCTGGCTTTTTGAGCCCCTCTCCCTTCTCTCCAGTAACTTTATTCCATCCTTCTTTAGGGAAGTTGCACATCTGTAGGGTCACAGGCTCTGTGTGTTTTGGGATTGTCTTTTAGCCAGGTGGGTTGTTGTTCCTCTCTTTGCAATGCCTCTGCCTCGGGCAGTGAGCAGTAGATCCTGCCCTTGCAGGGCAATCAGCTAATTAGTATTCTTCTTGTTTGGGTGGCCACTGCTCCCAGCTCCCTGCAGAGCTGTCAGGCTTGCTCTGGACTGCAAATTAGTATCTCAGGGGTTTCTGGTGGTGTTTGCTATTTGATTTTATCAAGTGTTTTGATGGGCAGGAAGTTAATTTTCATAATGTCCCAAGGAAAAAAAAAAAAGTAGTTCTTCCCTGCAAGAGAAGCATCCTTTGCTTGGGAATGTCCTCTTTGAGATCTCAGCAATTAGGTTCTCCTGTCTGCTGGTTATTTAGTACTATTTATGTTGTGTATTTGGAGCACATGTCCCAGGCTTCTCTCTTCTTGGGATGAGAACTGGTCAGGTTGCTGCTTTATCTTTCCGTGAAGACTTTTCTTCCTTTGGACAGCTTCTCCTTCATGGTTATGGTTATGGTTAGCCTTACTCATTCCCTAATAGTCTCTGCTTGGCTTCACAGCTTTCTCTTGCTGGGGACTTTCTGGAGGAGGTGTATAAACAAATGTATTTTCTTGTATGGAACATGCCTTGGGAGGGTTTAGGTCTTAGCAACATAACCTGGCAGTAGGACAGGTTTTTTTTTCTTGACTTAATTACTTAAAATACAACCAATTGAGAAGTGTCCTTGTGCTGGGGGGAAGGCAGTGTCCTGCCAAGAGTGTGGGGGTCTGTGGCTGTCCCTGCCTTGCCCACTGCTTGTGCAGGGCAGCACCAAGTCTCCACTTCTGGGCATCCTCTGTTTAGCTCTTTGGGAAAGTGTCTCCTGGAGGCTGCTCATCTCCCTGGGCCCAGCCCTTCCCAAACTGAGCAGCTGCTCTGTGTGCCTGGATTGTGTTTTTGGAGTGCCTGTCTGAGCTGTTTGAGTCTTCCCCAGGATAATGAAGAACTCTGCACTGAGTGTGAGTGAGCTGCAGGCACTTAGTAAAGTCCTGGGGCTGTTCCTTAGGAATGGAGTTTAACCATGAAGCTTGGGAGATATTGCCAGGAAGCCAAATGAACTTTTCCACTGTGTTTCCCACCTCAGTACCCTCACTTCTTGAAGAGAGAAGGCAACAAGCTCCAGATCATGCTGCAGCGGCGGAAGCGCTACAAGAACAGAACCATTTTAGGCTACAAGACCCTGGCTGTGGGATGCATCAACATGGCTGAGGTGAGCTGCTCTCCACAGGGTCTGCTTACACACCTGGACATCTTCTCTTCCCTCCAAACCCACTCTTGTCACTTGCCTCATTGAGAAGGACCTGACAGGATTTCAAATAGCTGCAATCTTAATAGCTGCAATCAATATTCACAGGGCAATATTTTAACCAGATTTATTATTGGGTAATAATATTGAGCATTTTCTGCCTCATCTCTTAATAGCTAAAGCTCTCACAAGGATAGCTTGTGACCTTTTGAGGGTTTTGTTATTGTTTTGTGGCTTTATTAAAGTTAGGGGGTCCAGATCAAAAGTGCAGAACGAGACAGAGTCACTTGGGCAAGTCTTCCAATCCTGAGAAGTGGTAAAGTTAAAGCAAGATTTGCTGTGCTTCTCAGTGCCACAGTATGAGTGTTCAGATTAAGCAATTTCTCTCATTTTGCTTGAAGAACCCTTGGCCATTGTTGTTTCATGGCTGTTAGTAATTTAGGTGGAGCTCTATTCATGAGAAGTAAATGATAAAATTAATGCTGGAGTCAAGTATGGATAAATTATTCACAAAGGCTTTCTGAATGGCATAGCTCCATGCTTTGTTACTTCATGCCCTGTTTAATCTCTGCTGTTTCAGTGTCTGAGTGTTGTGGTGGCCACTGCTCCATCTGAGTGTTTAGAAATGGGCTTAGCAGTAGCAAGTTCAGTTTCACATCAATATTTTTCATCAGACTGCATTCTGTCAACAAATTACTTTTATCCAAAATAAGCCAGTGTTATGCTGTGGTGAGTTATTATTATATTAAATAATTCACTCTAAAGAGTGCTTCTCTTGTGTGAGTGCAGCTTCCCTCAGCCCTGCAGTGAATGGTGAGCTCCTTATTTGAATTGGCCAAGTGCATGGTGTTGCAGCTAACATTTTTCCTGTACTGTTTGATTTGTTGGACAACCAGAAAGTAAATACTGCTGTAAGGCAGAAAAAATGTGGGCCCATTAATTAGAGTCACTGGTGAACTTCTAAGTGTTGGGCATTTGCTGCTGCTACATGTGGTTTTTCTTATGTCTGTTTGTAATGTCAGCTGACTGGGGTTAGAAGGTCAAAAATGTTCAAAGGTTCACCATGTTAGGAAACAGTTGCTTTCCAGCTCATCTGGAATATTTATGAAATTGAAGTCTTCAGGAAAACTGATTTTACAAGCCCTCCCCTCTTCTCTGGAGTTTATAGGATGATGACCCCTAAACTCCACTGACTCATTTCTTAAAAAAAATATAAAAAGCTCTCTTAAGCTGTTGAAACAAAGCAGTGAATTGGAGTTGAGAGTGAGCAGTTTCAGAGCAGGGGGACATATGTTCCTCATCAGCTCAGGTCTGTTTAGGTCCCTGTGAGGAGGCACAGAGCAGCCTGGTGTGTGTTGCTGTGCAGGTGAGGAGTTGGGCACACTCACTCTGGTGGGGGAAGAGAAGATCACAAGATTCTGGGGAGAAACCTCTGAGCTGGGAGTGGCAAAGGAAGGAGAAACTTGCACCAAGATGTCCCTCTGCCTCCACCACTGACTTGTTTTTCATGACCTGCTGCTTCATTGTCCCGGGGTGGTGGCCAGTTCCTCTGAGATTTGTGTGTCAGCTCTCCACAGCAAGGATATTTTGCTTTAGGAGACACTTTACATCTGTATCTCACCAAGAATTTTCGCTTTTACCGGCTCTTTTGCTTGGTTTTAAGACAATATCAAGTTCCTTAATTAGGTGTTCAGAAGGTGGGTAACTTGATCATTCAAATCAGTTCTGTGCTGGGGAGGCAAACACATAGTAATGAGGTAGTCAAGTACTCTGCTTCAAGGGTGAGCTAATCAGCTCTTTAGCTCAGAATATTTTTTGTTTCCTTCCATCACTTTCATTAGCAGTCAGATAAAATCTCAACTAGCCTCGTGGATTGCCTGCAAGTGGCTCCTGTGGTTACAAGGTCCTGGAAATGTAGAGTAACTCCATTAGCATAAATAACTCATGTAGTATGCAAATGATACAAGTTTAAATACACTTAAATGCAGATTTGTTCTGCTTAATTTCTGTCCCAGGTCATGCAGCACCCTACAGAAGGTGGCCAGGTTCTGAGCCTTTTCAGCAACATCAAAGAGGCTCCAGTGAAGGTGGCAGAAATCTGGATCTTCTCCTTGTCAAGTCAGCCAATCGACCATGAGGACAGCACTATGCAGGCCAGCCAGAAAATCAAGTCTACAGGTGAGAGTCCAACCATGTTCTCTGAGGACCAGTGTCCTCCTGAACTAGCTGGAGTTAAATTACCCCACCTGGGCTTGGATGCTTCCTGGGACAAATGAGGACTGGTCTGCACAAGTTGCTGTGTCTCTAAGTGATCAGTGCAAAGAAAACCCACTTTGCAAAAGTGCTGCTGTGCAAGCAGGGAGTGTGACAGGGACTGAATTGTCAGAGCTTCTCCAGCATGCCACACTACACCTGAGCCATCCAGCAAGGGTTGGCTGTGTCCTCACCAGTGCTCTCCCAGCATTATGGTGGATGTTTTGGGAGCCTGTAGCTTCTCACCTGGCTATCAGCATTGTATTCAGGAGATTCACATTTAAGCTACTCTTCCATCTTCCTTTTCCTTTGAGTATTCTACAATAAATTTCATTAACTTTAGATGAGACCTGCAAGCCTGCAGCATGTTTTGCTGGCGGTGATGGCCTGGCTTAATGAGTGTAAATCCATGATGTTGTGCACTGTATAGGAAAGTCACTGGGTTCAGACTTGTGGTGATGTTTTTATGTGGTGCCAGCCCTCTGCTCACTGCTGTAAGAGTGACCCGCTGAAGGTAGTGCATATAGATGTTTGTGTGTTGCTGCCTGGGGCCAGGCAGCTCACCTGAAGGGTCATTTCCACAAAGGTTTTGTTGTGTTTCACTTGTCCCTTTAAGTCAGTTATGCTCATGTTAGGGGGAAAAATAATTTCCCTTGTGGAGAAACCTCGTTACTTGCTGCTGTCTACCAGGTGGTTGGTACTTTCCAATGGGAAGAAGTTTATCCTCTTATTAAGAGGAGGAGGAGCCTTATCTGTGTCCTGGTCCTTCCTTCTTACTGGGTGTGTTTCTCCTCATTCCTTTCCTCCAGGCAATTCCCATCTCACTGGTTCTAGCATGGATAGATGCCTGCTAGTTTATCTCTCCTTGTGTGTCTCCTTTCTTGATTTGTGGCTTCAGCTGGCCTTTTCTGCTCCTGAGATGAGAGCGTGCCCTCACCTTGAAGGAGTTTCACAGGATCTTTCCCCTCTTTCCTTCCCTTTCAGACAACTATTCCGAGGAAGAGTACGAGAGCTTCTCTTCTGAGCAGGAGGCCAGTGATGATGCCGTACAGGGCCAGGTACTGTTCAGGGCATGGCTTCTCCCTGAGAGGGCTCAGTGGAGCATGTGCACTCCCAGCTCCTGCTTGAAACTAAAAGCCTATTTCTGTATCTAAACCACGCCAGTGTGAGACTGTTACCAAGTGTTCAGCTGCAGTGGAGAGGGTCTGCACAGTAACCCATTTCTTCTACCATGCTGTGATTTATCTGTTCACGTGTTTGGACTTGAGCTCCCTGGAAAAACATTGGCATCCTTGTGCTTCTCTGCTTAATGGTCAGGGAGTCATTTAATTGCTTCTATAGTGCTCATTGGATTCAAAGAGCCCAACTGGATCCCCAGCTGTAATTAAAGGGCCAGTGGGGTCTGAGGCAGCCTTTAGTCTTTAATACCTTTTTCACAATAGGTCCTTATGGAGAATCCCTGACTAGATGTGAGATGCTTTTGAGTTTGGGTCTTACTTGCCTTCAGACTCTGGCATCACCTATCAGAGGGTACTGAGAGAGGGACCCACCAAGATGTGGGGCTGTGACTGTCCTTGTTCCTTGAATGTAGAGCTAGGGCTGCTTTGCTTCTCCAAGCTGTTATTCCTGTCCCTGCAGACCTGTCTCACTTCCTTTTCCCTCTACCATCATAACTGCAATTAAGGCAAATGCTGGATGCCTGGAAGACACAGCAGCAGGTTCATCTGTATAGAAAGAACATTTTGACATGCTCATGTGTCTCAGAATGACGAAGGTAACACGGGAATCCTCTTTCTGTTCAGGATTTGGATGATGATGAGTACGAGATGGGGAAGCCCAAGAAGCAGCGGAGATCGATAGTAAGAACGACGTCCATAACCAGGGTCGGTGGAAATCAGTTTTACTAACACTGATGGGCTTTGGCCAGGATGTGCAGTGCATGTGGCTTGTGGGAGACCAGGCACGCTGGCCCAGCATGGAGCTTGGGGGCATGGTCACAGCATGTGAAGAGCTAGAGAAAGCAGCCAGTTCAGGCAATGGGACCATCCAAGGTGTGTGCATGTCTTGAGTGTCCCTTGGCTGCAAGGTTAAGGAGCTCCAAAAATCATGCAAGTGTATGAAATCCCATCCCCATGAAGAAGGCAGTGCAGGATCCATGCTCATGTAAGTCCTGAAAGTGGCTCTAAGTGAAGGAATGCTCGCCTATTTGTGCTCTGCATGGGAGAGGCCAGTGGGAAGTTCTCAAAATGAAGTGGCTTAGTCAGGGGTTGAAGCTTGATGGATAAACATCAGGTGGTGCATGTGGTGCTGAGGCAAAAGAAGTAGCTGGATATGATGTATATAGAAGCTTTAGAAAGATGCATGTGGCTGTCCACCCTCCCCCACAAGCATGGGTGTGCCTGCAAAGCTGCACTTGTGTGGAGCAGGGACTTGAGCTTCACCACACCATGGTCTAAGGCTGTTTCTGAAATCCACATTTTGATGAGGTCTCAAATAAACTCTGTTTTGACCTGAATCCATCACTGTAAAGATCCTTCCTGTGAGACCAGGAGTGTGCTAGTTCATACCCTTGGTGTCTGTATTGCTTTGAACAGTGACCAGTCAGGACAAAATCCACCACATGGTATTAAGCAAGGAACCCATAAGAGGAATGCCATTCCAGCCCTGACCTCTGAACTGATGCTGGAGGTCCAGCTGGTGCAAAACTGGGTTTGGTGATGCCAGTTAAGTTACCATCAGCCCAGCTCCAAACCAGATCTGCTCTCTATGAAACCATTCAGGCCAGCAAACAGCTTTTGCCATGTCCCCCTGGCTGCTGCATGCTGAGTGTCCCCCCTCTGTGGGCTGCTGAACTGGCCCCAGGTGTTGTCATAGATGGGTTTGCTTGAGCCAGAGCAGAGCTGTCACACTGGTGAGAGCATCTCAGCCTCAGGGATGCACTGGGCATGGAAACAGGGCTGTCTTGGGACAGTGTGCTGGATTTATTTCACCTAAGCTTCAACTGTCTGGAAGGTGGCTGCAGCTGCAGGATAGGAGCTCAGAGATAAAGGGTGTGTGAAGTGTCTGAGGCCAGAGTTGGAAGTAGGCAGTTGAACTTGCAGGACCTCAGGAGAGGCAGCAAATGAGCAACTTTCTTCACCTCAGAGTGGCCTGGTGCCAGCCGTTTCCTTCTCCCTTTCTCCTGACTCAAGGATGCACCTCAGATGCTCTGTACTAGCACTGAGACCCGGGCCCTTCTTGAGGATATGCACATCAGGTTTGTCAGTGACAGGCAGAGAAGGGCTGGGCAAACCTCAGCTGTTTGATCCTGCAAAAGGGGAGCACCTGGGGGTGAGCAAGCACAAAGGGAGGGCAGCAGTTTGCCTTGTGTTGCTCTGGCCTTGTTTCCTGCTGTGTCCAGGATCTGGGAGTATGACTCAAGAAACATTTGTGTGATGGGGCAAATGCTGAGGATAAGTGCCACAGGTTTTCACCAGTGCTGCTAGTGAAATAAATGAACCTGCCATGCAAACTCCTGCAAAAAAAACCCCATGCTTTGGTGGTAAAAATCACATTTGTTCTTGGGGTCAATGGGTAGTTCTCTATGTTGGCTCACTCTTGCTAAGAATCAGAGAAGTTGACTTTCAGGTGTTTTCCAGGAATATATCAAAAAGGCACAGGGAGGTGATCTGGCAGATAAAAATTGTTATCCATTGTGTGTCCAGCCAAAAGTGGAGTGCCATCTTTCAGATTTACAGTGCTCGTTGGAGTGGGACCTACCACTGGTGGTAATAAAGTTATCATGGGTGTGGAAAAGCTGGTTTCAGTGTAAGGACAGCAGGGAGGTGGTCTGTGGTGCCAGATGTTGTTTGATCTTAAACAGCAGGGTAGCACCAGTGTCAGATGTGTCTGGCTTCTTGCAGGCTGGGAGAAAATAGCTCACTTAATGCTTTACTTATGTAAAAGTGTCTTTAACTTGCAGCAACAAAACTTCAAACAGAAGGTTGTGGCATTGCTGAAGAGGTTTAAAGTGTCTGATGAGGTGAGTAATTCCTTCTGTAAATCTCCCTGCCTTGTGTGCTGCCCTCTGCTTGGTGCATCTTGCTTTAGTCTTCAGGAACACTCCTGTTTCCTTCTGTTCCCTTCATTTTGTTTTCAAGTCCACAGTGGATGTGACCTTTCCTCACACCCTGGCCTTGCAGGGAGGCTTGAGGGCCAACTTCTAAATGTCAACAAGCATTTTGTAGATGAAGTTTTATCAAAAGCAGATTTTGGCAGCTATGTGCATAACCATTAGTTTTGCAGATTGCTTTGAAATTATCTTTGACCCGTTCAAAGGCAAGCAGTCCAAATGGTGTGTATTGCTTGTGAGGTTAAAGCCCAGCCTGTTTGATCATCTTACTAGAACAGCCAGGCAAGACATGAAAACCTTGGATGGGGAGCTCAATCCACAAGAGTCAGCTGCTTGGTCAGAGCAGGAAAGGATGAAACAGGTCCAAACCCCCAGAAACCTGTGTAACAATAAGTATCCAACACAACACCAGTTAACATCTCCTTTGGCTGTGGGGCTGTGTGCTGATTCTGTGGCTTGTGGGAAAGAGTGAGTAACTCCTGGTGCTGCCTTCCTCTTGCAAGCAGTCCTGTTAGCTTTGCTGCTCGGCAGAGTCAGCACCCACAGCTGCGAGCTCAGGCAGCCGAGCTGCTGCTGCTTTTTTTCTGGAGCTGCCACTCCAAAAGCAAGCTCTGGTCAGGGCACAGCCCCTGCTTGCTCCGGGGTGTGTGTAAAGCGAGTTCAGTGGGAGGTGTTTGTTCCCCCTGCCTCGGCCGTGGCAGCGGATCCTCCTCCAGGTTTCAGGCGCCTCCTGTGGACATTTCTGGGTATCAAATCAGGAGGTGTCAGGGCAGCTTTTTCAGTAAAAACCGATACATGTTACACTGTTGGGAATACTGGAGTTTTGTACTGGTTCTAGGAAGACTGAGATTCCTTTGGAGCTTTAAAGCTTTGTTTATAGTATGGGGTTGAATAGTGGAGATGAACAATGGCACGCTCATGGATGCCTGGTCCAATATATAACTCCTGCTTAACCAGGCATTGACAAGCTTGATCGAAGACAAGCATTTCTCATGTACTTAATGTTCCTTGGATATAGTATCCTAGCACCAGGAATAGAATCTTGCTGCCAGGACTGGTGTCCTGCAGTCCTGGGGGGAGCAGGGGTGATGTGGGATCAATCTGGCTCCTAGCAGAGCTGGTGATGCCTCTTTTTGTCTTGTGTAGGTTCTGGATTCAGAGCAGGACCCAGCAGAGCACGTTCCAGAGGTGGAGGAGGATTTGGACCTTCTGTATGACACGCTGGATATAGAGAACCCCAGTGACAGCGGGCCAGAAATGGAGGATGATGACAGTGTCCTGAGCACTCCAAAGCCAAAGTTAAAGTAAGTGTGAGGCAGCTTCTGCTGGCCAGAGGTGGCTAGCAAACCCCATCCAGTCTGCTGGGGCTTGTAGCTTTGTCAGCCATGTACAATGTCAGATGTTGGTTTTATTCCCACTCTTCTGTGTTTCTTTTTCCCCTCCTGACATGGTGGTGTTAGAATGGGAGTGACAGCTTGTGATCTAGAGGTAGGGTGTGGGGTGTCTGACTTCCCTTTAGTCCCAGCTCTTCCTTGTTCCCTCTGCAGATGTTCTGCTGCCCTGCCACCTGAGCACAGGGAAGGTAGACACAGGAAGGAGATGTGTGCTAAGGCAGGAGTAGAGGCAGGGATGAAGAACCAGGAAGGAAATGTGTGCTAAGGCAGGAGTAGAGGCAGAGATGAACAAGGCACACTGTCTTTCTGGAAAGACCTTTCCTGTAATAACACCCTGTGTGGAAAGAGAGTCTTTGCAGGGATTAAGGAAGCAGAGCTGCAGGAAACAAGTGGATTCCTCAGGGTCCAAAGGCATTGACTGCAGCACACGTGGATGTGCTCCAGCCTGTTCTTAAAGAGCTCCTGTGGATCACTCCCAGCACTGTGGAGCTGAGCTGGGGGTTGCTGGCTCGGGGTCTCAAGCAGATGCAGAGCTCTGAGCTAACACAGCTGTGTCACACTCTGCTCAATAAAGGCTGAAGATGTGAGACTGAGCTGACTCCTGCTTCTGGCTGGGGTATGGTTGCAGGCTCAGGCCCTCAGTGTGTGATGGCTCTGAAACAGAGACATATGGCACTGACCACTGCAGCTGGTCAGTACAGCATCTGCTAAATCTGCTAATTACCAGGTGTCATTATAACCTCGTTGGGCTGAGAACAGATTCTGGGTCTGGAGAGAGCTGGTCCCTGTCAGTGAGCCAGGAGATGCCAAGGATAGAGTGGGGCAGCAGTGGAAATGGTGGGGCTGCTGGCATGTGAAGGTGTTTGGTGCTTAACCCAAGATTCCAGCCAGCTGGTTGGCCCTACCATGAAGGGATTTGAAAATAGATGTGTTGTGGTAAGCAGCTGCTTTGAAACAAGCCAAAATGTTCCAGTTCATATCCTGTTCCCTGGAGCTGAGGAGCAAACTATGCTGGGCTATGTGATTGCTGGAGTAATGCTGGAATAAGAACTTACTGTGTGTGGTCCTGGGGAGACACTCTGTAGTTTCCTAGGTTCAGTTCTGGTGTTCATATCTTGAAGAGGATGTGATAAATGTTGATGCCTTTGAGGCAGGTTTTTCCCACAACAACAAAAAATCAGTTCCTTACGTTGTAATTGCGTCTTGTAGCCTGATGTGATGAGCTGCCTTTTGAGTGGAAGCACAATCTGATTGTGTGTGGTACCTTATCTTACTGAGCAAATGTGTAATTGGAGCCTAGGGCTGGCAGCCAGATCCAGATGCAAGCTGGAAACAAAATGTATATTAGCCCAAGAATCACTTACCCAGGAGCAGAGTGTTGGGGTGTGGGGAAAGCAGTAATTCTGCTTGCTGTATGTCAGTCAGAAGCTAAATTCAGGAATGCCTGGACTTTCTGGCTTCTCTTACTGTCCTGGACACCCTCCTCTCCTTTCAAAAGTAGTCTGTTTTACTGGAACCATTGGGGAGCAGTAAGATCTTCTGGGAACTGTTGTGCTGCTTTGCTCTGAGTGTGGTGGACTTGCCCTGTCGGTGTTTATGGTAATAAGAAATGGGTTTTACTTTTCTTATTCAGACCTTACTTTGAAGGACTGTCACACTCCAGCTCTCAGACAGAAATTGGTAGCATCCACAGCATCAGGAGCCAGAGAGAGCCACCAAGTCCTGTAAGTCACATTTCAAGTGTTACCTCTCTGCACTCTCTCTAATTGCATGTGTAAATTACCCTCTCTGACACCTCCAACATCCCAACGATTTGGATGCAGAGATACACATTTTCTGCTAAGAAAACCCATTTGGACTTTTTGGGGACTGGAGATTTTTTTGGCCAGTTTTGGTTTTTTTGTTTGGGATTTTTTTTGTTGTTGTTTGTTTTTTGGGTTTTTTGTTATTGTTGGTTTTGTTTTGTTTTGTTTTAATGCAAATATGATATTAACTTGAGGGCGCATCTTCAGGTTATGTATTGAATACTTGCTCATGGTGTAGATAGCTTCAGATTCCCACGTGCCTGAAATGACTGCCAGGATGGGAGATGTTGCCTGGGAGTTTTAGGGACTTCCTAGCACTCTGTGGAGGAAGCTTTTCTTTGCTGATGTTGGGGTATTTTTCCTGGTGGCTGACAGTGTATGGTCAGGGGCAGCTCAGCTGCTTTTCCATTCCCTCCTGAATGGGCATAAAGTGTCAGTCCCATCCCAGAGCATTTCATTGCCTCTCCTGTGTGTTGTGCATCAGCTTTGCCACATCCCACAGTGATGTGTGCAGTCCTGGTGTGAGCAGGGAGCACTGCTGGCCATGCTGCAGAGCTGTGTGATGTTTAAATGGAGAAGCCTCTCTTCTGAACAGCCTGACCCAGAGAACATGGCTGGAAACTGTGCTGGTGCTAAACCTCCTGAGGATTTTTCTTCTCTCAAGCAGGTAGAAGTGCCTGAAAAGACAAAGAGTCTTGGAACCAAACATGCAGGCGACAGTGTTTCTGACACTGTCCCTTATGTAAGTTGAAAATGCACTTGTTGACCTTCCTCCTGTCAGTTTGGTGTCAGCTGTGGGCTGCATTCTGTGGGGTGCATCTGTCTGTCTGTATAGCTGCACATGCAACACAACTTCCATGGGTAAAATCAGCTGCAGTGAAGATAGCACTGAGTTCTCCTCCTGGCCTTAGTTTGGAGCTTCTTGTCTTTCAGCCTTTTGCAGGTGAAATGCTCTATTTCACCTTTTGTTCAAGCAGCCTGAGAAAGGCTGGCCCAAAGTTTGCTACTGAGCATGCAAAGGATGCTCAGGGCTGTTCCATTTGATCAGACAGAAGTATTACTTTCAGCTGAGTTGGCAGAAATCAAGCTGGTCCTGGGGTAGAAATCCCAAAGCTCAAGTTGCTCTGCTGGGAACGTGGGGTGTGTAACATTTCTGTCATGTCTTTCTCTCTTAGCTAGTTCATTTGGGTAAGATGAATTCATCTGCATTGCATGAGGAGGCATGTCCCTGGCTTTGAGCTGTGAGAGTGCCTGTTCCAAACAGCATATCTGAACACCTTTCCTACCTCCTGCTCCCTTGTGAGGCAGAGCTGGCAACAGGTAGCCCCAGACAGCCACTACTGGTTTCCCCCTTTTGGCAGTGAGCAGGATGTCTGGAAGAGGCAGGCTCAATGTGCCCCAGCCAGAGCTAAGCTCCCAAGGTGAGACAGAGGGAGGGTTTGTTCCTGCTAACTCTGTTCCCTGTGTTTTTGCAGGAGTCTAACCAGCAAGCTGAGGTCCAGGAGGCTGAGCTCCCCACTCCAGATGTGTTTGTGGAGAAGCTCCCACCCAGTGGGAAGATTACAAAGACAGAGTCCCTCATCATCCCATCCACCAGGTACAGGGGACAGGGCTGTGCCTGCTGCAGGCATGGACAGCATGCTAGGACTTGGTCAGGGTGGCCTTAAGGCAGTAAGCTGCAAGGACACCCTTCCTGTGTTTGGGCACTTGAGCAATGGGTCTGGAGCACTTGATAAATGATTGCCCAGAGGTATTCTGTGCTGCTTTGGGTGTGTGACTGCAGTTTGCCTGGCTGGATCTTATGATGCTGGTGTAGCAATAGCAGAGAGGGGGTGTGGGTTTTAGCACAGGCTGTGGAAGTCATCCTGCACTCCTGAGAATGTGCTGAGCTGTGAGCTGTGCTGTCAGAAGCAGAATCAGCCGGGCTCAAGCTAGCTCAGATCTCCGTGCAGAATTCCCCAGAGCTTCTGCTGGCATCACTGAGGCTGCCAGACGGGTGGTGGGGCTCTGGGGGCTGTGTCTCACTCAGAAGCGTGCCTGCCCTGGCAGTGTGAGTCTCCCAGCAGGTCTGAAGGGAAGCAGACGGGGCGCCGGGGCAGGAGCACGTCCCTGAAGGAGAGGCAGCCGGTGAGGCCGCAGAACGAGAGAGCCAACAGCCTGGACAACGAGCGCTCCCCGGACACCCGGCACCACCTACAGGTCAGCTGACACTGCTGCCCTCCAGCCACTCAGTGCTCCTCCTCTCCACTGTCTCCTTGTCCTTCTAGTTCGAGCTCTGTCCCTGCTGGGAAGGAACTGGGCCCCGCAGCTTCAGGAAGGAGGGAATTCATGTCTTGGCTAAAATTTTATCTTCCATCCAGTCTGCTGGGGTTTGCCAGCTTGTAGCTTTGTCAGCCAGCCATAAACTCAAAACACTGGAGCAGATTGTTAGAATGAGAAATGAATAGGGGTGTGTTGAGGAATTACTCTTTTGAAATAAGGCAGATTGCTAGGGACTGTCTTGTGCACAGCATATGTGCTGTGCTTTTGTTAGCTGTGGGACTCACTTATTTCCCTCCTTGAAGGAGATTGTTCCTGGCTTTTATGAATCTTAAATTCCTGGGCTGCTGTTAGTTGGTATAAAGTGATGTAAGTAAAAATGCATGGCAGAAAGAGTAGTGGCCAACAAATCCATGGTGGCTAACACTGAGGAAGCTGCAGATTGTCCAGTGTGCCTCTGCTGGTGGGGTGACTGACCAGCATGCACATCAATTGCAAGAGCTGGAGCTGGAGGCTTGATGGCTAAAGCTGACACCTCTTACTGTTCCTTCTCTGTGTCTTTATTTCCAGATCCCCAGGAAAACAGTGTATGATCAGCTGAATCACATCCTGGTTTCTGATGACCAGCTGCCAGAAAACATTATCCTTGTCAATACATCTGACTGGCAAGGCCAGGTAAGGGCAGGAGGCATTACCTGGAGCACTGTTCTCCTGTACTGTTCTTCCCCAAGAATGGACAGGCCTTGAGCTCTGCACTAACCAAGCGGGGTCTGCTGCCTGCAGAGTGCTCAGTGCTCACAGGCTGGATTTCATCTGGCCAGGAGATGCTGGGATCTTATAAAGCTTTGCCACTTGAACCTTTCCACAGAGGTGTTTTCTCCCCAAGCAGTGCCATTCCTTCTGGTTAGCAGCACACTGGGAGTGTGGCTAAACCCTTGCACTCAAAAGCCCCCTAAACTATGGTAGGCTGGGACAAAGGAAGCAGGGAGGTCTGACCTTGTGGTGGTTTAGGCTGAGATTTCTGAGCACAGGTAGTGAACAGGAGAAAATATTTTGGATCAGCTCTGTAGCCATGTACACATGCATGTGACTGCTGACTGCAGGAATCACCCCATCCTTGCTGAGTGATAGTTGTTTTAAGGAGAACTCTGACCAATACTTCCTTTTGCTGACAACAAATTGGGAAATTTTTACAAACTTGGAGCAAATTTTGCTCCTTTTGGAACCTTATTCTGAGAAAGCAATAAAATATGTATGGAAGAGGACCAATGAACACGTGCTGGGTGGCCCTTGCCTGGGGAACTTGTGCCAGGCTTGGGGAGTTACATTGTCTGCTTTGGCTTTCTGTTTCTGCAATAACTAGGGTCTCAACGTGTGAGAGAGCAAAAATACCATCTGAGCTACTGGTTCCACTTTCTCTATTCTTGGAAGACACAGAAATGCCTTCTAGAGATGGACAGATGTTGTAGATCACCTGACAGGGGTTCTGGCACCTTGTGCCTGCAGTATCAGAGGGCATGAGGGATATGGACTGGGGTGTATAGATCAGTCAGGCAGAAATTGAAAGTGTGAGATAATTAGTGCCATAATTATGTCCATGTGTACCTGAGGTGTGTGGTGCCCCCATCAGCTGCATGGAGGGGAAACAGTCCCTCACAAGGAGCATGGATGTGGTAGCACCCTTCCCTTTCTTCAGTGTTTAAGGGTGTGCAGAGCACTGCATTTCTTTAAAATGGAAATCAGAGAGCTGCAGCTGCCAGAAGCAGGCAGGTAAGCAGTGTCTGCTCTTTCCCAGGGCTGTCTGTTCAGTGAATGTTCTGCTGGCCCTGCCCTCTGTGGCTGTAAAAACTGTGCTGCATCTCTGGGATACGGTGTTGTGTCTGTCAAGAAGATGTTGCCATTTTTCTAGAAGGAAAACTTTCCTTTGGCTGCTGTGCAGGGAGGAGGCATTTGTGAAATAGCCACATCACCTTCAGACACAGGGAGAGTGCCCAGGAGTGGGTGTGAGAATACCCAGGAGGTTGGGGAAGGTACATTTTCTTCTTGTGACAAACTCTACTGAAAAAAACTGACGAAAAAATGTTCTGTTCTCTCCTCAGTACCTTTCAGATGTGTTGCAAAAGCACACCTTGCCAGTGGTCTGCACATGTTCCTCTGCTGATATTCAGGCAGCTTTCAGCACAATTGTCTCCAGGATACAGAGATAGTAAGTTCTCACCTAAAAGCCTCTCAGCTCCTGTGCCCCAGGACTCAGCGAGTTCATTTCTCAACTACTGCATGAAACCTTTCCAGTCTGCTTTCCTGAAGTCAGAATTGCATTATGGGGTTCTTCAGCACTCACCACCCCTGCAGGGCCTGCTGTTCTGCCTCATGTGGGGCATGCAAGTCACCAGCAGCAGTGATTATCAGAGACTGTGCCTTGGGGGTGTAGTGCACGCAAAACAAATAAAGGGGTTTTAAATAGTTCTTTCTCTCCCTTCCAAACAATTCCCAGAATAATTCCTCAGTTCCTGAAGGCACTCCCTGCTTACCTGCTGGGGGCTGTGGGTACCTGAGTGTGTTCTCTGACCCAGCATTTAATAGGTACATCCTAACCTAGGTAGTTGAGCCCAGCCCTTTAGAATATCAAAATGTGCAAAAGAAGGAGCAGGGAGACCAATTAAGGAATTACTGAAGAATGTTGTATTTTATTAATAATGTTTTAAGCTGCTGAGAATCGTTGCAATATTGCCTTGTGTATTGAACAAACTCTCTTCTGCTATAATTGTTATTAACCAGTTTTGGTTTTTTTTGCTGCTTGCTCTGAAATATGTGGTTGAAGGCACAATTACAAATATGTTTCCTCTTTTTCTGTCTAGCTGTAACTGCAATTCACAGCCTCCAAACCCAATTAAAATTGCAGTGGCAGGAGCCCAGAATTACCTCAGTGCTGTGTTGAGGCTCTTTGTAGAGCAGCTGTCTCACAAAACCCCCGACTGGCTCGGCTACATGAAATTTCTGATCATCCCTCTAGGTAAATAAGGAATGGTGTTTCTTCACAGGGAGGGGAATGGGTGAAATCTGTTGTGTTCCCTCAGGAGAAGCCTTTGTGGAGCTTTGGCTATAGGTTAAATGAGGCAAATTGTTAGATGACTGTGCAGTGCTGGTGTTACTGCTCTTGTGGGAATGAATTTCATCTCTAAGTTCCTGATGGCAAAGTCTGCTTGTAAGCCTTTTGTTTGAAGCAAGGGGTTAAGTACTCCTTCCCCATACAGGGAGACTCTTATGCACAGAATTGTTCTGGAAACCCTTTTCCCTGGCTGAAATGTTAAATTCAGTGGGCACCATGTTTCCCAAAGCAATAACTGTTCTGGCCTCCCTGGACTTGACTCAGAAAATGCTAAGAGGAGGGGTTGAAAATTTTTAAAATGCTCTGAAACTGCTGAGAATTTGAATTATTCAAATTACATGCATCTCTTGACCTTTACTTTTCATGCTGGTCTGCTCAGGTTTTTCCCTCACTTTATCTCTGCCCTTTCAGCAGCTCAGCAAGCCTGCCTGGGTGGAACATTCCCCAGCTTGGATTGCTTGTGGTGAGGGAGGTAGAGTGCACTGATAGCAGCACCAGGGTGCTGGTGTAGTCACAACCTTGAGGAATGTGGTGGTGGCAAGGCCTGGGAAGCAGGGGAGTCACTGGTGCTGTGGGCAGGGACATCTGGGCAGTGCTGGTGGGGTCCAGGGCTTGACTTGTGTGGACAGAGCACTTAAGTGATGCAAGCTACAGAACACTTGAAAAGTGCTTTTTGCTAGTGTTTTCCATTTTTCTGGGTTTGGGGGCAGCTGATGGAAGTTCCTGTAAGAATCAGAAGCTGCTGCCCAGCACCATGAACACTGGGGTTAGGCTGTCCATTCAGTGGTGGCATTTGCAAGAGTTGAATAAAAAAGGCAAAGAATTGGATCATTCTGTAAAAAAAGGCATTTAGTTTCCAAAGTGCTTGGCAGGAAGAGAAGAGAGAGCCCTTTAGGGAGTAAAACCAAAAAAATATTAATTTCTGCAAGGTTAAATGTGCTTTGAATGAGAATCTGTGTCTGAGACTTTGCTGCTCACTTGCTGACTGTCTCCTGGCCTCAGGAGAAGAGTTTTCTGTCCTGCAGTTTTTAATGATCTGAAAATACTCTATCTTTGAAAGTGAAACACAAGATTTAGCTAGTGTTTGGGTTTAGGTTGGTTTTTTAATCTTAAAACTTTGTTTTGTAATCAAAAAAGAAAACAATGAACCAGACACTTTGATAATGAAATGCTTTAGAACTGTGGATTCTTTTTAGATTCTACTTTAAATATAGAACTTCTCTAAGAGGATCTTTTCCACAGAAGTCTGCAGTATTTCCTGATTGGATCAAGTGCTTATTCCTGGCCAGCTCTCTGGCAGTTCATTAAAGTGATTGAGGAGCCACCTCTCATTTCTGACAATTGAAAAAGCACCAAAGACAGAATGGTGACCATGCCATAAATGTCTTAAAGGAAAAGCCTCTCTGCTGCTTGCAATACCTTTGAAATGAGTTGGTGGTGAACTAGGGTTTTTCCATGGATGGTTTTACCTACTGAGTCCACAGCTACACACGCCAGTGACAGAAGGGTCAACCCTCAGTGGTTTATTAGCAATCAGAAATGCTCAGTGTCTGCAAACATATGAACTGGGAGATTCAGTCCTGCTCCATGCCACTGATTCCATGGCTGTAAGACTCCTCTGCTGTCTAAAACACTGTATCATAGCTGAAAAGGGGAAAATAAAATGTTGAAGGGGTATTTTGGCTGTTTGGGGTATTTTAACATTTTATATAGCTCCCATGGGTAGGACTTCTTGGGAGCCTTGCTTTGATTGCTTGTTTCCATGTGCAGAGTATGGGAAAGCTTCTCCAGCACAGGGTGCAGAGCTGTGCTGTGTGCCCTGCTCAAAACTCCACTGCAGGGGAAATGTGGGGTCCCAGCCTCTACTGGCCCTGAGGCAGCTCAGAGGCACCTCCTGCTTTCACCTCTCCTTGAAGGCTGGAAATCAGCTTGGAGGGTTGAAGCACTGAGACAGTGGGTTTATTGTTTGGGTCTTTTTTTTTTTCCACCAGAGCTTTCCTGGACCATGGTGAGGGCAGTTAAGCAACTGGGGTTGTCCTGAAGGAATTTGTCAGGTTTCCAGTTAACTCAGCTGACTGGAAGTGTGGCTTGATGGGCAAATTTGGTATGTAGGAAGGATGAAAACAATGTGATTAAGAGGAGCTCTGAGGCTGCTTCATGGCTGAGTGTAAATGTACAGGGCTGGTGCTGAGCCTGATTGTCAGGTGGTGGCTGGGCAGGGTGATCCTGGCACACCTTTTCTCCTGTGTTCAAAGACTGTAGTTGCTAGGGGGCGTTGTCTGTTTTGGGGACACAGATGTCCAAAAAGGAAAGTGGCCTAAAATAATGAAACCTCCCAGGGCAGAGCTTGTCACTTGAGCACCTTCCCTGTCCTGCTCAGTGTAAGTGTGCAGTCAGATGTCCAGGCAGGGCTGGAGGCTGGACACACAAAGCTTCTGCAGGAGGTCTTTCCATGCTCATGGAGGAGCTGGGCCACGAGGCTCAGGCAGAGTAAGCAGGGACCTGCTGCACATGCCAGTGTTCACTGAGTCCTGTAATCCTGGGGCTCTGCTTTCTGCCTCAAATTGCAGCCTATTTATTGAGCTTATAGCCCTTTTCCACAGATTAAACAAGCCTCCCTGGGTTTTTTTTCCTGCCTGGGGGTAATTGCCTCTTCTCAGTGTTGTGGAACAGCTGTGGGGTACAAATGGTGCTTGGAGGAAGGGGTCTGGCCCCTCCTGGCAGAGGTGGCCTGGCTGTGGTGCAGCCTGTGGGCAGGAAGGGCTGTTTGGGAGAGCTGCTTGCAGAACTGAGAGACATGGAGAGGTGTAGAGCCTTTGTGCCTTCCTAGTAATTTATTTCCTCAGCAGTTTCCCAGTCCTGTTTCCTTTGGCCTTTTAAAATTTAATTTGTTAGGGGGAAGGTTCAAGTGAAAGATAGCAATGTGTTGAAGCAGTCTGCACTGGGAAGTCTGTTTGCATGCTCTTGTAGAGATAAGCTGGACTAAATGACTTGGTTATAATTGAAGAAGTTTATTTCTGAGGTGTCTAGTGTGGTTTTGATTTTGGGGTTGAATTCCTTACAGATCAAAGCCACGCTTGTGTTCAGTGCTGGAGAGCACAGCTGTGATGTTTTCCTTTCTTTCTTAGGCTCTCATCCAGTGGCCAAGTATCTGGGGTCTGTAGATTATAGATACAACAACTTCTTCCAAGATCTAGCCTGGAGAGATCTGTTCAACAAACTTGAAGCACAGACCACTGGTAAGACTCTGTGTCTGTCTGGCCTGTGTGGGATGAAAAGCTTGAGTGAGTAATTTTAGCAGAGGTCAAGTAAATACAAGAGGAAGCAGACAAGTGGTTTTGTTCCTCTTTTCTTCTCACTACACCATGTTCCCATTTCAGATGCTGACCTTTCTAAGTCTTGCCCATGGTGGTTTGCAATCAGTTATTGGCTCTCAGAGGCATTAAGTAGCTGCCTGTGAGTCATGCTGTTCTTACCTAGCTCTCAGCTTTGTTCTTTGATGTGGAGGTCTTGCTCCTAAGTTCAGTACATTGCTTTCCTTCAGGAACTGTGCAGCCTAAAACGTTTGGAAAACTGGAAGCTCTGGGAAGATTAACTTCTGTTAGTTGTGTGTGAGAAAGTTCCTGCCAGCAGACTTGAAAACATTCTCATTAAAGAAGAATTTTGTTCTTCACCAGTGTGGTAACGAGTGGGAGCTGCCCTAGGTCAGACCAACAAGTTCCTGTTCTGATCTGAGTTTGTTCTAGGCCAGATTAAAGCCTTACTTCAGTTGAAGTACTAATTTGTTTAAAATATGAATGCTTAGACTTTCTTCCTCCATTTCCTCAAGAATGGAAGGAAACAGGAGAAAGGAGGATTTGCCACATTCAGGGCTACGTGAAGGCTTGAGATTTGATGCTGTTGTGGCAGCATTGCCCACACAGAAATTTCATTAGAAGAAAAAGCTTTGAAGCTTGTGTAGCACCATGAGTGTTGCAATGTGGTTCTCCCTGTTGGAATTGCAGAGTTCCTGAGACTCCCAGGATGCTCCTGGAAGTCCTCTAGCCATGACAGGAGGAGAGAGACCTCTTCAGGGTTAATTGTTCAGAGCTGTTTCCAGCAGATGGGGACATGGCTGGACAAGGCCTGGGGCAGCCTGTTCTGAGGATGAAGTCAGCCCTGTTTGGAACAGGGGGCTGGACTAGAAATCTCCTAGTGTGCTATCCAGGCTACACTTTCCCTTAATCCTGAATTCAAGGAAGAACTGGTGTATGGAACTGGTTTCCTTTAATTACTTGGTGCACTTAAAAATGCAGAAAAATGTCAATACAGACTTGATTTTTGTGTCTGAATTAGGAATACTTCATTACCTGTAGAAACCCAGAAAAAGCCATATCTGTTCCTTAGTTGATTGTCTGCTATAAGGAAAAGTCCACTTCATTTTTGTATAGTGCAGACTTTGTACATTCTGCATTTTTGTCTGTGTGGTGGCAGCTGCACAGGAACTCTGTAATGGCACAAGAAGATTTGGCAGAGAACCATAACTCTTATGAGTTCACTGTTCAAATACAAAGAGTCTGGGTTGAAATGCCCATTTTAAAGTATGGAAGTGCCTGCTGAAGGTCACTTGTGTTCCTGGGATCTCACAGTTGAGGCTCTTTGGTTGAAACCAAAGAAGTATGGAAGGCATTTAGGAAATGTCTTTGTGTCAACTTGAATGAACCACAGTCTCACAAAATCACAGGATCTTTGTGCTCTTCCTACCCTTGTGTGCCCCTCGGTCTTTTTAGGCCAACTGAGCAGGGCCATGAGTTCATTAGAAACTCAGGTAACTCAGTGCTGGTGTAAGAGCAGCTCACCTGGGAGACATGGCCAGGCACTTTATTCAGCAGACACCTGCAGCCAAGGCATGAAATGTCTAAAGCTGACTCTGGGCAGGGACAAAGAAAAGCTTTTAACAAATCTAAAAGACCCCCGATTTGGTCAGAAATGCTGAGTATAGATTCAGCTTTACTGCGCTCTGGGGTAGGCAGAGCTTCTTGTGCAAGGTGCAGAGCTGGCTGGGCACCACCAGCAGGTGGAGGCCAGGGCTGGCATGGTCTGAGCAGTCATTGAATGCTTTTCCCTGTGTTCTCTGCAGTTTCGGATGCGCCTGACGTCGTGTCCCGGATAACTCAGTACATAGCAGGGGCAAACTGTGCTCACCAGCTGCCCATTGCTGAAGCCATGCTGACCTACAAACAGAAGAGGTATGGCCCCCTTGTCCTGCTGGCTCCCAGCACCAGCTGCTGCTTGAGAGCAAAGTGCTTTTCTCATGTCGTGCCAGCAATCTGAAAACCAAACAGCAAAGCCCTTGGGAGCCTGCACCCAGCAGTGTGTCCCACTCAGGGAATCTACAGCAGCAGGGTTACTTTAAGTGCAGAGATTCTGTTTTTTGAAGATGTAAGAGGTTTTGGGAAGTGCAGGCTAAGCAGGATGGGGATGGACAGGTTTTATGTGCTTAGGTTCCAGAGATCTCTCACCACAGTGACCTTAGGTGTGTCAGACTATACCTTGGCATTCTCCCACAGAGTATCTTCTGTGAGACCTGACCTTTTTTACATTGGCATGTAGGGAACTAAGCCCCTTTCTTTTTGGAGTGTAAATAACAGAGCTTCTTGCAGGAGAGACAAAATCCTTGTTGATTGGCAGTTGCAAGCTACCAGGACTCCTGCTGGGGAGGGCTGACATTCACTAGGTTTCATTTTAGCTTTTCTTAAGGGATAAGCAGGCTGTAGGAGGGAGGACTGGGGCCTGAAAACAAGATTCAGGAGTAGGTAGGGCCTCCTGTGGCCATGGTCCAGGAGGAAGAGTAACTGTCACTGAAGGGTAGAGAAGCATTTCTGTCATGGGACAGAGGAGAATGATAGATTTGAACTCAGCTGATGTGAGTTTCCTCACTTAGGGACTAGCAACTCCCTATGGGACGTGGATGTTGTTAATTTTTAATTACTTCTATTTGATTTTTCATTTTTGGTCCATTAACATCCCTTATTAGTGTCTCCTTTGTCTAAGAATTGGGAGAAATTGAAAGTGTGGGTAGCATCACTTTTCCCCCTTCTTTTTGGAAATTCTCATAGTATATTTCTTTTGCATTCCTGTGGAATTCCTGTCTGCTCTCATATTACTGTGCAGAAATGATTCAGTGAAATTTCACCCATTCTACCTACATGTTTTTCCTGTATTTCCAGACTGACTAGTCAAGTAAAAGACACTAGTCTAGTCTCTTCATGTATTTGTGGACTTCTGGTAAAGTTAACATGATAATAAGGATGAAATTTAAAGAGCTACAGAGCACTTGAAGCTCTTGCCTTCAGTTCTGCATTTAGTTTTTGGTGTGAAGGCTTACCTTGGTTACCAGCAGGGAGCTCAGACACCCCAGTGCAGTGGGAATCCCTTCTGAGGCTGCCTAGTTCTTCCTCTGCACCCTTCAGGTGCTGGGTTCTGCACTGCTTTCCACTGCCTCGTCCATCCTGTTACAGCTTCATTTGTGTCATTAAAACACATTTAAAGGTTTTGACTTTTTAATGTGTCCAGAAGGTCAATTCAGCACTTTGTTGGAAAACAACTGAAATGTATTTGAGCAAGCTCTGCCCTTTTCCCCCCCAGCAGTGTGCAGGACTGCTTTACCAGGCTGGTCTGATCCATTTTGGTTTGACACCCTTTGGACTCTGGTGCCATGCCTGAAGCAGTTCATAGTTTTCATTTAGGAGGTTATTGGGAAGAGAGATTTCTGGAACTCAGCCAGACTTTGGCATAACCTGCAATCTCTCAGTATTTCTGTGTGTCTGCCTTAAAATAACTTCTGCTTTCAGGTCAGTGCCCTGTGAGCAAAGGAGAGTGAGCCAGAGGCTTTCACTGGAGCATGGGCAGTTGTCTCCTGTGTGCCTTCCTTTAGGAATGGGGGTCTCTGTCACTGGCAGCAATTTAGAAAGGATATTGTTAAGAGCAACACAGAAATTGTGTCTCCATTAGCACTATCTAAACAAATGTATCACTGTGTTGTAAGTATAATAACATAATAACACATTTATCTTTTTCTTTGGTTGCTTGCTGAAAAGGAAAAAGAGCTTTCATTTTGATTTTACCATAAGGTATCAGTTCCTTTTAGGTTCCCTCTCCCAGCTCCTCTCTTTTCCCAGTGAACTGGTGATTTGTGCCTTGTTTAACAGGTCCTGCAGGTCTGGGATGCACAGTTTGTGCTTTGGGTTGAATTCTGCTCACTGCTTTGAAACCATGGCGTCTGCTGGCAGCCTGCAGCGTTGAAAGTGACTGCTGTGCCTTTGGACCACACATTTGGGTTCCCAGGATGTAGACTGAGTGGGAATGAAGGAGTTGTTCAGAGAGTAGCTTAGAGCAGTACAGCAGTACAACATGGAGAAGGTGGAGGTTTTTCCTCGCCTTTTCCCTTAGCCATCAAAAGATAGAGCATAGCTCCAGAAGGATCAGGATTGAGTAAAGGCTTTTCAGTTCCCATCTGTTGGAGCTGGAGTGCTGTAGGTGGCACTCAGTGGCTCAGGGTGGGGATCAGCTGTGCAGTGTCCGAGTGCACACCAGCAAATCTGTAATCAAAAATTTGAGGACTAGTCTCTTACTGGCAGAGCACCCCAAACATATGGGACTTCTCTGAGCTTAAGAAAGAGAAGACAGATGTGTGCTGGCAGTGGAGCTGTGCTCTCTGAGCTGCCTCCAAATCCCCATGCTCTGCAGGGTCCCCTGCTTTGAATCATATGATTATTGGGCATTTTTTAGTTTGTACTCAGCACACAAAGTTACAGCAACTCCGTCCCCCTTGAGGCCAGAGGTGAATGGCTTCTCCAAGGCCAGCTTTCAAGGCAGTGGTCCAGGTAGAAACAAGCAGCACTACCTACAAATTCATTGCAAAAGAATTCTCCCAGAATCCTGGCATTTGCTCTGTTAAACAAGTCCTAGTGGTGCAAGGAAAGCCCAGCCAGTGTCTAGGATGTAGCTGTATGTGATGAGCTGCTTTACAACTCTCTTGCCAGCTGTTCCTGTTCTGACCCCGCTCTCTCCCCGTGCCCTTGTTCTGTTTGTCATGGCAAAGGTTGGCGCATGAACTGCCTGTGATGGACTGCAATGGTGCCAAAGCTTTGTCCTGGTCTTCTGCAGCATCTGCTGACCTTACCTGAAAGCACAGGGGCTGGCTGTGAGGAAGGGGGTTCACAAAGGAAATGAAGTGCCATTGCAGCTCCTCTGAGTTACACTGGGTGACTGACTGTGTCTGTGAGCTCTGGGAGAAGCCCTGGTTACTGAATTCTGAAGGAGCTGTGCAATCCAGGCAACACCTGGGGAGCTGAGACCCTGGGGATGGGGTGGGCTTCTCACCAGGAGGGACATGTCACTGATGTGTCTCTGCATTGCTTTCTTGAAAGAAATCCACTGGTATTTGAGGCCTGGGCGTCAGCTCTCACACATTCCCAGTGCAGCTGGATTGCTGGGCTGGTGTCACCCACTGTAATTCAGTGCCCAGCACAGCTCATGCCTTGTGGCTTCTGGATAGCCCTTGCATGAATCTGGGGAGCAGCCTGGCTCTTGGAAATGGAAGCATTGTTCACTTGTCAGGGCAAGGGCTGGATCACTGCCTGCCTGGTTATGTGTTTACCAAAAGCTTTTGGGAGCACTTCCCAGCTCTTGCTCCCAGTTCCCTTGGTTTGAAGGGCTGCTGGGCAGTAGGGAGCACAGATTACACTGATCCTGCCTGCTGTGTGTCTCAGAGGCCCTGCAGGGGAGTGGCTGAGCAGTCCAGGTCATTGCTCTGAGTGCTTCTCCTCAAACACACCCTGCAGCAGCTCCTGGACCTGAATCTGGCTGGACAAGAGGGGCCTGCTCCCTCCTCTGGCTCAGCAGAGCTCATCTTATCTGCTGGTTACTGCAGGAAACTCCTTGGGCAGCTGCTGCAAATGCAACAGGAGTGCAGCAGAGGAGAGTCAAGGCTCAAGAAATTATGGATGTCCTGTTGGTTATGTCCAGCCCACCACAGGGAAGTGAAGATGCTGGAAAGGAGGTTTTTGGGAAGGCTGAGAGGAGACTCATGTGATGTGTCATGAGGACCTGGTGCTGCTTTGTCCCTTGTTTGGTTTGGCCCTGGTGGAAGCAGGACAGTGTTAGCCAGCTGACAGCTGGGGTTGCCCAGTGGGCTGGACAGATTTCATGTCGTAGGTGAGTGAAGAGCTGGTGGTGGTCCCTGGCCTGAAATGGCCCACAGGCCTGACAGTCCTTCAGTGACAGAAGTCCTCTCTTTCCTGTTGCCTCCTTCAGGACTTGAATAAAGGTGGTGCCTGAGATCCTCCTGGTTAGAGATATGACACATCAATTACTGCTAAAAATCACAAAATTGGGCCAGATTTGGCTTTAAATTACAGCTGAGGTACCAGGACCTTCACAAGCCCTGTGGGTAAAAATAAAAAAAGCCTTGGACATGTGGACTTAACCCTCTGCAGCGTGGGAATCTGTGCAGCTGAGGTAATGAGGGGAAGCTGCCTTTCCAGAGTTGGGGGATATTTTAGTTGCAGGGCTGTGAGAGGAGGAAGAATTGAAACAGCTGTTACCAAGGTGAAAGGATTCTGAATTCATGCTTTGGGATCTTGAGATCCTGAAGAACAAAAATTGGGAAGAGCATGAAGAAAGAAATGAAGAACAAGCATGGTCATCTCACGTTTTCTCTCATCCAGAAGAAGAACAGCTGTTTTGATAAGCTGCATTTCCAGAGACACATGAGCAAGAGCAGAGTTCCAGGAGGGCATGTGACAGGACTAGGCTGGCTGAGCTGAAATCCAGCTGGATTGCTTCTGGAACAACCTGTGCATCGCTGTGGGCCCTGAAAAATGGTGGCTAAAGCAAATGATGTATTTCAGAGTTGGCCCTGAGCTCTCTGTAGTGGGAATCAGAGCTCTCAGGGGAACAAGAATGAGTTTTCTGCTGGAACTGGACATGGTTGGTTTGTTCAGAGCTCGGAGCAAAGCCATCCAGTAGCTGAGAGATGACTGGGTGGCTGTGGTGCTTGGTGAGTGGGACTCGCTTTCTGCCAGCCTCCAAGCCCAAGGAGCTGAAGGAAAGAGAAGAGAGCTGAGCCTCTGTTCTGTGCCTCTCCCAATAGCTCTGTGGTTTTCTCCTTTCCCTTTGCAAACCTGGAGCTGGAAACGTGCTGTTTGTAGGAGATGTGTTTGCTGGGCCCTGCAGAGGTGTTTACAAAGATGGGACCTTCCTGCCTTCCAGCATGGAATCAGGGACTTGGTCACTTTGTCCTGTGCTTGAGGACAATGTGTTGAGGGTGTGAGGTATGAAGGGAGCAATGGCCCTGGCTTTGCCTTAAAGATGGATCAGCAGAGCTGAGCCAAAGCGAGACGCTGTTTGCAAAGTCGTGCTCTGCTTTGGACCAGAGGGAGCTCTGGCTGAGTCATGTTCACTGCAATTTTATGGCATCCTTTCCTTGGGGCTTAGAGGAAAGTGTCCAACCTGTGCTGGTTAACAACAGGTTAACAGGTTAACAACCTTTGTGCATTTGGTGCATTTCTGATCCGTGCTGGAAACAGCACAGAAAGACCTGCAGTATTTATGCTACTCCTAGCTAAATTCTGGATGAAAGCAATGCTGGATGGATTTTTTTGAGCACTGGGGGATGCACAGGAAGAGAAACATGAGAAGTCTGTGTTTGTGTGCTTCCTACCTGTTTCCTGTGCTCAGTCACTGAGAAATGTGTGTCTTGCCTGTGCAGTCACTTCCCTCTGCTGAACTGTAGCTCCTCCAAACATGTGGATGTGCTCCTGTGGTCTTCTCCTCACCCTGTGGGTCCATCTCTGACCTCTGTTGCCACTGAAGGGAGCAATGGCTCTGCAGGCCCTTCTGGCCTGCGTTCCTCCTCATCCATCTCTTCCTCCTCTTTTCTGCTGGGTTTGACTATGGCCTTCATTGCCTTTCTCCACCCTCTGCTTCCTGGCGGGGCCCAGAGCAGAGTGGCTCTCCAGATGTGTGTGGTGTTGTCTCCGGCTGTTTCTGGGGCTGGTGTGCCCTTTGGTGGGCTGGGCCCGGCTGTGGCTGCGTGCGCCGGTACCGGGGCTGTTCCCGTGGAAGCTGCCGGCAGCAGGGAGGGCCATGAGGGCGCGGCCGTGCTGGTGCTGCAGCAGTAATGGCGGGTCCCGGCTTGTAACGCGGCAGGGCCACGGCTCGGGGACGTGCCGGCCGTGGCACCCGGCTCCAAGGGGGACGTGCCGGCTGTGGCACCCGGCTCCATGGGAGATGTGCCCCATAGTAGATGTGCCGGCTGTGGCACCCGGCTCCAAGGGAGATGTGCCGGCTGTGGCACCCGGCTCCAAGGGAGATGTGCCCCATAGTAGATGTGCCGGCCATGGCACCCGGCTCCAGGGGGGGACGCCGGGAGGCCGTGCGGGCACAGCGCCCCGGGCTCCAGTCAGTAACACCCAGCGCTGTGTGTTGTGGTGGCACAGATCCATTTCCTCGCAGTTGGAGGCCGTGTGTCTGTGGTGACTGCCATGCCATCCAAGCATGTTCTTCTGTGGAGCGTGAGGGAGGGAGGAAGAGCCTTTCCCCCCGAGACTGCCGTAGGCTGTGCTGCCCCGTAGGCTGTGCTCCCCCGCAGGCTGTGCTCCTGCCGCCCCTGCAGGCTCCCGGTGCCGGCAGGGGCTTCGAGAAGAGGCTGGACTGGCGCTTGCATCCTGTCCGTCCCTGCTGCATGCTGGAATGCCACCTATGGAGTGAGTATGGTGCGGGATGGAGGCGAGCTGCTAACAACTCTCTTCTCTTTGCCTTTAGCCCCGACGAAGAATCTTCGCAGAAGTTCATTCCCTTTGTCGGGGTGAGTGTTGACATGGTGATGCTGTCTCAAGCAAGCTGAAATATGTTCTCAGGTGTTAACCTAAACTTACCAGGTTTCTGGAGTGGAGCAGAAGCCATTGGGTGCTCTAAGGCAGATTATCAGCATGAAAATCTGTCTCATGGTTGGATGCAGCTGCCTGATATTTAAGCAAACCTCTAAGACACTTTAATAAACTGCAGGGTGTATTTTCCTTCTCAGACAGGAATGTGATGTGTCCCTGGAAACCTGATCATAGGGATGCTGTGCCTAGCATTGCCCTGGTTGATTGCTTTGGCCAAATTTGCTATTCCAGTGTCATTTCTCTGCATGCTTGTCACTGATGGTCTCCCATCCTCTTAGCATCCCATCTGTTCCTGGGAAGTAAGGAGTACATCCCGGCAGGAAGGCAATTTATACCACTGTTATTTATTTGGGATAGTCCCTCATTTTTCCCCCTGTCCTTAAGTGTTCCCATCTGAGGTGCAGAGTGTCTGGACAGGGCCATGTTTGTTCTTCTGTCACTGTATTTCGTGCACTATGTGCTTTTTGCCTTTTCTAGCTTCCCTCTCCTTATTTGATCATGCTCTTCAATTCATTAAGTTTTAGGTGTAAAGTCATTGACCTGCAGCCAGAAGAAATCCCTTGGCTGCTCTTCAGCTCTGGGATGTCCTCTTCCCAGTTCCTGCTGCTGCCTTGCGTGCTGGCCTGCTCAGTGTGACCCTGACACGTCCCCTCTGTGTCCCTCGGTGTGTCAGAGCTCCTCTGAAATCCCATGGCATTTAAAGAGCTTAGTCTCTCTTGCCCTCAAGCTGACCCTGCTTTCACTCTGGTGTCTCCTCATAGTGAGAGTGTCTCTCTGCAGCATTCCTGAGATGACAAGCTGCTTTTGTTTCTTAATGGAGAGAGGCCTTCTGCAAAGGCAGAGAGACACATCTCCCCAATTTGTGCCCTGCTGATGAGCTTTGCTGGCAACTTGTATCTCCCGTGAACTGCAATTTCTACTGATGGACTGTTCTTACAAAACAGCTGTTTCACCTTTCCCACTAACATGGAAAGCCTAGAGGACCTGGAACATCCCAGACTGTTTTTGGGCTCTGCAAGCTTTTTTTCAGGACTGATTTAGTCCTGAATTTTGTGCAAGCAAATGGGGCTCAGAGTGTTTATCCAGTTTCTCTGAAATGATTGTCGTCCTGACATTAGCACTGCTTTTCCAGTCTGGATTTGGTTATCTGAAAGTGGTGGAATTGCTTTATTGTGTACATACTATTGCCAGCTCCCCAAAAATTTGCCTTGAAAGAACAGAATGACTTCCTGTGTCACTGGTGGTGAGGGTCAAATCAGTGCTGCTTGCTCCTGATTCTGAAGCATTCCTGACACCGTAATGCCCTGTGAAACACATCTGGAGAGAGTGAAAGGCCAATTGCAGGTGTCACACAAAGTCTGAGGCTGGACATGAGCACTGAGGCTCTTCCCTTCAGCTGCAGCCTGCTCAGAGCTGTTGGACAAGGAAGAGAGGGAGCCAGTGACTTCTGGGTTTGCAACTGATGTTGGCTGCACTCTTGGGCTTTTGGGGTGCAAAACCTGGTGTCCTGCAGCTGGACTGTGCAGTCTCTGACCCAGAAATGGGCAGGGCAGTGCCATGCTGCTCAGCTGGGCTCAAAGTGGTGGGAGTGGAGCCTTACAAGGGGCCAGGCTCAGACTGCTGTGGGCTGACAGCCAGTTGCCAGGAGAGTTAACAGGATGTGCCTCTTCCTGGAGGGACAGGGGGCTGGCTGCTGCAGCTTTCCTGGATGGAGCCCTGCTGGAGCTGCAGTGTTGTCATGCACCTCCCCGAGTGGAGGGAAGGGAAAATGTTTAACCTTGTGTTCCTCCCATGTGTCTGAACTTGAGCATCTTCAGTCAGCCAACAAGGAGGAAAAGGCCAGAAGAGATTTCCTGCCTGGCTTGCAGATCAAGGTGGCTGCAGGCAGTTTTTTGTGTTGTTTGTCCCTCCCCAACCCTGCTCCCCTTGTTCACAGCCAGTGACAGTTCGTGGAATATCCTCTTGGTGTTTAACACATACAGCACAAATGGCTACTGCACTCCAGAGCCTGAGTTGTTGTCTGTTTTTTTGGGTGGAGACTGGCCAAACTGAGCTGCAGCCTCCTCTCCCAAGCCTGTGAGCCCTCAGGGAGCCTGTGTACACACTGCTGAATTCATGGTGGCTTTTTCAAGACTGGATCTAAATGAGAATCCACCAGAGAGCCTGACAACTCTCCAGGATCTACTGTTGAGCATATGTCTCCCTGCCCTCCAAGCTCTGCAAAGCGTTTTGCTTCTAAGAATTAACTTTTTTTTTCTTTTTTTTTTTTGGACCCTGTGTTACAGAAATGTGCTCCCTAGAGATGTGGTCCAGACATGGTCATGTCTGAACTTAATGACCTCCTGTTTTCAAACCACACAGCTTGTGTGACATCGGTGCTCATTCTAAAGCAGTTTTTATTGACCTGAGCTCCCTTGGCAGCTCTTTCCCATTTGTCAGCATTTGTGTAGGGTAGACATTATCCATGGAGACAAGTTTCTTAAGGACCTTAAAAAGGCTCTCTTCTCTGCAGTGTTAAGAGTGATGATCCCTGTGTACCATAGCAGATTATCACTGCAGAAGGTCTCTGCTTTTATATCACCAGGGGCCACTTTATCTTTCTAGGCATAGGGTGTTCTTGGGAGTTTGTTTGCAGCATGTTCTGTTCCACAAGCTATTGCCAGTGACATTTATCATTAATCTTGATGTACCAGCTGGTGACTGGCCACACACGTTTGTGCCCTTATTGCAGTGTGATCTGGATCATTCTGACCTGTCCATGTGGTGGTTTGTCCCTGTCTGCCTCCAGAGGCTTTGGTAGGGGCTTTATCTTCTTTGTTGGGCACTTCTCTTGTTTAGAGAATGGATAACTCTGATCAGAAACTGTACTTTGTTGCTTCTGTGGTTTCTTCTCAAACCCCAGCTATGCTGCACCCTGGAAGGGGCTGCTCCTGAGCAATGGAAGCAGTGTGTCTGTAATCAGCAGGTGCATCCAAGCAGTGCTGAAGGGATATTTCTGACCCTTCTCCTCCCTGTAGTTGGCATAGCTTGGAGCTGATGGGCTGCAGAGCTGGGCAGGTCTGTGCTGTCCTTTGTGTGGGTCAGGTCAGGGCTGTGAGCTGGCACTGCTTGGCTGGACATTGCCAGGACCTGCCAGGCTCTTAGAGGACTCCTTAACTACTCTGACTGCAGGGACAGTGCCTTGGGGAGTGCAGAGATGAGCTCAGGGCTGGGGTTTGGGTTCCTGAAGTGCAGGGGGCTCTTGTTTGATAGAGCTCTTCTGTTCTGCCCCCTTTAGGTGGTGAAGGTTGGAATAGTGGAACAATCTTCTGCAACATCAGGTAAGGACCATCCTGTGTGTGCTGTCTGTGTGCTGCAGCATGGGAGCCTGACCTCACAGGCTGGGCAGACTCATCCATCACTGATGCCTTGGAGCTGGGAGGTGGAGTTGGATTTTATTAGCTCCCAGTGGTTTGTCTGCAGAAAGAGAGCCCTCTCTCTTGGGAGAGGCCCTTTTTTCTTTGTTACTTTACATGGAGCTTCAGGTCAGCTGAAATTCCCACACCTACATCCAGGGAAGCTCTACTCTCACGTTTCTGCAAACCCCATTTTTCTAATGTTGTCAGTGGGGTGGATTCACTGTTACACTTCTTTGAGGTTCCTGCTTCAGCCTGAGGAGGCGGTTCATCAGAAGTTCATGCCTGTCTCCCTGCAGTGGGCTCAATTGCTGAATGAAATTGATCTCAGTGCCTGAGAACTTGAGGGTGGGCAAAATTTTAGACCCATTTATTTTTTACTGGAGGAGTGCAAAGCTGTTATGCAGAAGGATACTGTCTGCTTACAGACACAGACATGGAGTGGTGCTGTTTTGTCAATGCAAACTTATTTTTTCCGTCCATATGCACAGGACTATTGTTTTCCTTGTGTTGGGATTGTTTCTTGTTTTGCTTCACTATCAAACCCAGATTCTTGTGGCCTGGGTGACACACAGGTTTGTGCATTGAGGCAGCCCTTCTGTGGGTCACTCCTTGCTGCCACAGTGCTCCCACCATCCTAAAGGGCCAGCAGGAAGGGGATGAGACCTTGGTTGTGGAGGCAGATGGAAGGGGGAGATCCCTGTGGTCGCCCAGAGGTGCTGGATTCCAAGAGGGGTGCTGCCCTGCAATGGTTGCAGGGGGAGATTCCCTGTAGGAAGGAGATCAGTGGGCTGGGCTGTGGCTGTGCAGGAGGCTCAAAATCAGCTGGGAGCAAACCCTGGAGAGCAGGTGCCAAAGGGGGAGCCCCAGGAGTGTCAGTGTCTGTGTCTGCCTTGGATCCAGACACACAGAGCCCCTCAGAAGTGTGGAGCCAGTCAGAACTGATGGGCCAGCTGACCTCTGGATTAAATCTGAACAAAACCTGTGCAGCAGGAGCGTGGACAAGGAGATTGAGCTTTATCCCAGTGTTCTGTGCTGTGAGACAAACCCAGACAAACAGTTTCCCTTCCTTTTTTAAGGTGACTCTGATGACGCAGCTCCCTCAAGTTCCGTTGTCCTTTCTTCCACCCCGCCTTCCGTGTCTCCTGCTGTGAAAGAAGCCTCCCCCACGCCCCCTTCCTCACCATCTGTTACAGGCAGCTTCTCCTCCCCAAGGTAAACCATATTTTGTCTCCTTACAGCTCCATTGGTTGGCTTATCTGGCATACATGTGGCTGAGAACTCCAAAGGAAAACCAATAGTTCTTCCTTCATCCCTAATAAACATTTGGAGTTGTCACCTTTCTCCTTCACATCTTTTGCCTCTGGAGTGACTGTGTCCTTGCTGAGGCTGCCAAGGGGCTGGGGAGGGCAGGGGGGATTTTGCACTTAGTGGGAAGGCTGCATGTCTCAAGGGCAGGATTCTCTTGGGAAGATATGTATTCAAAAAAATTACTGACTCTTAGGACACGTGGGTGCCAGGCTAATCCCTCATGATTGTTGTGTTTGTAAAGGCCAAGTGAGTGGAAGGTCAGAGTGACTTTTGAAGGAGCTGATGACTTTCTCTGTGAGGGTAATGCTGGTAGTTGTAAGGTGGAACTGCAGCTCCCATTCACGTGTGTGTCTGAAAGCACATCTGAACAGCAAGGGGATTGCACCTACAGGTAATACTAAGCCCTGGTTTAGCTGAAAATTTTAGGGGTGAAGGGAGGAAACCCTTAGAAAGCTGTCGGTAAGACTTGCCCTGGCCAGGACTCTTCATTTTGTTGCTGCACAAAACATTGTTGTAGCTGTCTAACACTCTGTGTGCAGCTCTAATACTCAGAGGCACTTGGTGAAGTTCCCCCTGGTTTTGTTAACTCCCCTGAGCCTCTAAGGGAACATAGCAGCAGTCTTGTGAGAAGGGGAAACTAGAAACATTTGGACTCTGCAGTTTAGGAGAGGAGAGGAAAGTGATAAACCACTCAAGGTGTGCAAAGTCAGGGGAGGTTGGGTTTGTAGAGGGTGGCAGAGCACTGGGACAAGTGCCCAGAGAGGTTGTGGAGTCTCTCCCTCTCTGGAGACATCCCAAAGCCACCTGGATGCATCCCTGCACTACCTGCTCCAGGTGACCCTGCCTTGGCAGGGGGATTGGACTGGGTCACCTCTAGAGGTCTCTCCCAACCCCAGCAATTCTGGGGTTCTCTGAAGCTGTGGCACAAGAGCTGGGGGCGCACAGTGACACTGCAAGAGCTCAGTTAAAAGGGAGAGAGGAAGGGACCACCTCTGCCTCTGCTGCTTCTGTGGCAGCAGCATCAGCAGGTCAAAGAGGGGTCAGACAGATTCACAGACAGCAGATCCATTAATGGCTACTAAAGGATGTGTCAGGGACTCCCCTCTAGCATCCCCAGTCCCGTGGTTGTCAGGCTGTGGAAGTGCCAGGGCATGCTCTGAGGCTGGGCTAAGGTGCTCTCCCTAAGCAGCATCCCCTGCTGTCCCTGTTGGGGACAGAATGGGGACCTTTCATCCCACCCCAGGGTGCCCTGCAGCGACCTTTAACCTCTGACCTCTTAGAGTGGCTTTAGAGTTCCCTTTGAACAGGAGGCAATGGAGATGTGAAAGTGCCAGTTTAGGTGCCCAGCCCTGGAAGGTGTTAGTGCCCATTCACCTGTGCCAGGGCCCAGTTCCCCAGGCCCCTCCTGGTGTATCCCTGTGCTTGGATGGCAGGAGAGCCCCTGTGCCCCAGCAGCAGCTGGCTGGCAGTGCAGAGGGCTGGGGGCTGGGCAGGCTCCAGGGAGCAGAACTGAATTCTTGTGTGTGAGCTTTGTGTGTGGGTTTTCCAAAGGTGGAAGTGGTTTGGAAACTGGTGCCCCCAAGAGTGTAGGGTATTAAAGCTGTGAGCCATGGATGTGATTAATCTGAAACTGATACCCCAGCTCTAGGAATCTGGTACTTTTTGGTTTCATACTGTGTGGCAAAATCATCAAGAAATGAGGAATTGCAGGTTCAACATTGTTCTATCTTCCCTGATCTCTAACTAAGTGACAGCACAGGGGGTGGAGGGTGACCCAAACTGAATGATTGAGCCATGTGTTTAACTGAGAAGGGAACATAAAATCTTGCCTGGGCCTGGCGAATATTGGGATGCTTTGTCTTTATGACTGAGTTGAGAAATGTGATGCAAAGGAGCTATGCAACTCAAAGTATCATCCTTAAAGAATCTCACTTCTGAATATTGCCCTGAGAACCAAAACCCTGGTTTTAGTCATCAAAGATGAACTCTGCTTTGCAGTCTGACTTTTAGCTGAATGAATGGCAAAGAAAAGGAAATGATTTGCTGAGAGGACTGTAGGGATGGGGTGTCCTTGTTTTACCTTGAGTTCCTTATTCAACGGGTGGTGCAGAGAGATGCATATTTCATTCAAGATCACAGATTTATCTTCCTTAACAACTGCCATTTCTCAAACTGGGGACACAGACTGGTAGATAAATTTAGGTTTTTGTCTGGTACTTGTGTATTATTCAACGCTGATTGTCACTGTGTAGGAAGAAGTATAGGCTGACACTTGTAGGTCTGCTGAATGGTGAAGCCCTCCCTCAGGGTTATCAGTGAGAGGCAGGGGCAGGAAAGGGCTGGAGCTTCCCAGGCTGCTCATCTTACCTTTGCTGGCTCAAGAAAGGGCTGGCAGCATGTTTTGGTGATGCACAGCTGCCACCACATGATGCAAGGAGATTTCAACAAGAGAGCATATCCTGAAATCTGCTGTTGTTTAGCAGACATCAGACAGGGCTGGCAGAACTTTTAGCAGACAGGGCTGGCAGAACTTTTTTTTCCCCAGTGGAATTCCCCAGCAATATAGGCAGTTGCAAAAAGCAAGTCAAGGAGACTGGGAATTGAGTGCCTGATGTTGAGGGACCTGCCAAGTCCTTGTTCACCCCAGCTGAGTTGGTTTTGGCAGTGCTGTGCCTGGACAGAGCCACTCATCAGTGCTCAGGGGGCAGCAGCAAGGTGCTTACAGCCTCTTTTCCCCACTCAAAGATGAAGTAATCTGGGCCACCTCAGGAGCTGCCTTTGCTGCTGTGTCACAGAACTCAGCATTGTGTTCTAAGGAAAGTGCTTGTGTGCTCCCTCTCCCACTGCTCACCCTCGTGACTGCAGCAGGTCAGCTTGTCTCAGCTCACAAGACACTGTTCTGTGCAGTGGGACCCAGGCTGCATCTCTCAGGGGTGGCTTTGTGGGCTTCTGTAATTGCTGAGTCTCACTATGAAATGTCACAGCCTGATTGCCCAAAGAGCCAGCAGTTTATTCTCTGACCAGCAATGCAGCCACTCTGACAAAACCCTGCTGAGAGGCACGCAGGAATTACCACCTCCTCTTGTTTCCCAGCCAGGGCCTCGGTGCTGAGCTGATGGGCCTGCAGGTGGATTACTGGATTGCAGCTCCACCCGTGGACAGGAAGAGAGACCCAGAGAAGAAGGACCCCTCCACCACCAAAAACACACTGAAATGCACTTTCCGGTCCCTGCAGGTCAGCAGGCTCCCTGCCAGCGGCGAGATCGCCACCACGCCAACCATGTCCATGACTGTGGTGACAAAAGAGAAGAACAAGAAAGGTAAGGTGTCCTTCTGTCCCTGTCATATTTCCTGAAAAAGCCCCAGGATTTCTTCTCCTGGGAAGCTGAGAAGCCTCAGAAAAGAATGAAAACAATAATTATCTGATTGCTTCTCCTGTGTTTGCTGCTCTGGAATGTGGTCTGGAGATCGTTTACCAACAGGTTCATGTTTAATTGGTTTCCTGTGAATTGTTTTTACTTAATGACCAATCACCATCAGCTGTGTCAGACTCTGAGGAGTCAGTCACGAGTTTTTATTATTCATTCTTGTTAAGCCTTCTGTCTGTATCCTTCTCTTTCTTTAGTATAAGTTTAGTATGATATGATATGGTATATAATTTAATATGATATATGATATATAATATAATATCAGCCTTCTGAGAACATGGAGTCAGATTCCTCATCTCTCACCTCATCCTGGGGACTTCACAAACTCAGCATCCTTCTGTCCCCGTCCTGCTGCTCCAGGACTGCCTGACTTGTCAGTGCTGGATTGCAGCACCTCAGTCCTATTTTTATCCCGAAAAGTCCGAATCAGTGGCTGAGGAGTGACTGTGTGAAGTGATAGGGTTTGGAAGGGTGGTTCCTCTGTGTGAGGTGAAAAGGGGATGTGTTCACCCTGGTGGCTGAAGCTAGGATGGTATAGCCCAAAAGAGCAAAGGTGGGGACAGAGCAAGGCCATGCCTGGACAGTTTCCCTGTGTTCCTTGGGAGCCTGCTGGTGCTGTGTTGGGATATTGGATTAGATAAGAGGCAGCTTGTGCCCCAGAACCAGTGAGGGTAAATGAGCCCCTTCTTTCTGGCAGTGTGCTGGAAACTTGGGATAACTTTACTTTCTGGGATGATATCCCCATCCTATGAGCCTTTAGCTCAAAAGAGCCACAGAGAATGAAAGAGGCATGTAAGGGAAAACAAAAGCCCAGCAAGTATCACAGATCCCTGTGAGGTGACAAAACAGGAGTACCCCTGAACTGGAGAACCCCTGAGTCTGGGGCCTCCCTCTCTCCTCCTGCGCCCACCACCCTACAAGAGCCACCGAGGGGATTCAGAACCTGGAGCAAAGTCCTGGGTGGAGCAGCTGAACTGGGGGTGTTCAGCCCACAGAAAAGGAGGCTCGGGGTGACCTTATCACTCTCTACCACTACCTGAAAGGAGATTGGAGCAAGGTGGCAGTCAGTCTCTTCTCCCAGGTAATGAGAGACAGGGCATGAGGAAGTAGCCTCAAGGTTTGCCAGGGGAGATTTAGATTAGCTATTAGGAAAAATTTCTTCACCAAAAGGGTTGTGAAGCCCCAAAAGGGGCTGCCCAGGGCAGTGGCAAAGCCACCAAGCCCCCATGCTTGGAGGTATTTAAAAGATGTATAGATGTGGCACTTGGGGACATGGTTTAGGGATGCAGTTGGCAGTGTTAGATTAGCAGTTCAATTCAATGACCCTGGAGATCTTTTCCAACTCAGCAATTCCATGATTTTATAATTCTTATGCTTTTGCACAGAATGCTTTGTGGGTCAAGAGGAAGTGGAAGATTAATACTCTCCTGCTCTTAAACTTGTGGCTTTATTCTCTCAAACCAAACTAACAAAATGGCATTTTGAATGTTGTCAGTGATTTTGTATTTGCTCCTGGCCTTGGTAATGTGAAACATTTTAGAAATTGAGAACAGCTCTGCAACAAATTATTTTCAAGGAAGCACAAGGCAGTTCTTCATTTATATTTTGCCTGCCAGTAGTTGTCCTTCACAACACCCTCTGCCTGTAGGCCTGGGAGTTACTCCTGGGTGGACTCTGAGAGAAGGCTTGGCAGGGCCTCCTGGGCTGCAGGACATGGGTGCACAACCCTGCAGCCAGGTCACTGCCAGGCCAGCACAGCTGTGGCCCTGCTGGTGCTGAGCTGCCAGCCCTGGTGAGACCCTTTGGGAGTGTCCTGTTGGTGGGACAGGCAGTCCTGAGACACTCCAAACATTCTTCCCTGGGGGTGGCCCAGCCTGCAGCAGAGGTGTTCAACACCACCAGCTTTTGTGAAATCAGTTTGTACATCTTTGCTCATGTATTTGGACAGTTCTTGGGGAGCTGGACCCTTTAGTTCTCCTTATGCCTTCCCTACCCACCAGCTGCCCCCATTTTGTAATCCCTCCTGCTGTCCAGGTGTCTGTGCAGCCCAGGCTGTGTGGGGCCACAGTCAGTGCAGCAGGCCTGGCACTGCAGATGCAGATGTTTTCCCTGTATGGTGTCCCAACAGAGGGCCCAGCTCATGCCCTTTGGGGTCAGGATTATGAGCTGGGAAGGCTTCACAAAGAAACATTTAGGAATAAGATGCTCATGTGCATCAGTGATGGTGCTCAGCACTGACAGACTCCTGCCAAAAAGGGAGGATCTTAGGAGTAAGAATTTTCAGACAGGAATGTTTAAATGCAAAAGCTCAAACAAGAATCAGTGCAGCTCCTGTGAGTGGCACAGATTGACCTTGTGCTGGTTTGCTTTTCTTCCAGTGATGTTTTTGCCCAAGAAAACAAAGGACAAGGAGGTTGAGTCAAAGAGCCAGTGTATTGAAGGAATCAGCAGGCTGATTTGCACAGCGAAACATCAGCAGAACATGCTGCGTGGTGAGTGCAGCACTTGCATCCCTGGGGGTGCTGGGGCAAGGCTCACGTGCTGTGATTGTCCTCCAGGCAAAGGGCTGGACTGCCCTGCCCTGTGCCCTGGAGCCAGCATGCTGGGGATATTCCTGGGGAATGGGCTTTGGTGTGCCCAGCATGGGGGAAGGCTTTAATAGGTCTGGGATGTGGGAAAATCCTCCCACAGCTAGCTCTGAGTCAGTGCTCTGGATGAGGACAAGGGTTGGACAGGGCTCCATTCCCCTCTCTGTCATCCCCTGCTTCTCTTGCACATCTGGTGCAAGTGTTGTTGGTGGCAGGTGGTGACATTGTGGCTGCCCCTCTGGGCAGGACACTGGCACATGCTCATGCCACAGCAGGAGCCATATATGCCTCTTGTAGACAGACCTGGAGTGTCTGTCAGTGGAGCTGGGCATCCAGGAGCAAAAATACCCCTGTGGCCTGTTCAGTTAGTAATCCCCAACAGAGGGACCCACTTGGGTCACCTCCTTCATCCTGGCCTGGTCCCTGTGAGACTGGCAGGCATGAGGGGTGCTCACAGGACATGTGTCACCTCTTTGGGACACATGGATGTCCTGGTGAGAGTGCCAGTGAGGAGAGACTGATGTCCATCTCTGTAAGAGCACATTTGCCCAAGAAAGAAAATGAGGTGTGCTGAGGAAATCTGAGAATCCGGATCAGGTGACACTGAAATCAGCAGTGTGGGGAGCTCTGGTGTCAGTGAGCGATGCTGGAACAACAACCTGAGCTCTTCTCCCCAAACCTGGTGTGCTCCTCAGCCTTTCTCCCTGTGAGTGCAGCTGAGTGGGGCAGAGCAGCTGAACGTGGCCAGGCCTCCCTCTGCCGACTGCAGGGGAATTCTGCCAAAGCTGCCTCAGGCTGGCCACTTCCCCTCAGCATTTCCTAACTCTGCTCTCTTTTTACCCTCCCCTGCAGTCCTGATCGATGGGGTGGAGTGGAACGACGTCAAGTTCTTTCAGCTGGCAGCACAGTGGTCCTCTCATGTCAAGCACTTTCCCATCTGCATATTTGGACACTCCAAATCCAACTTCTAGCTGTGCTCGGCGCAGGGACCTTCTGCCCATCCCGAGGACTGCACACCAGGAGCCAGGAACTGCGTGCCAACTCTGACTCGCGTCGCTCTGCCCTCTCCTGCAGAATTAATTACAGATGTGCTTGGATTACTTTTGAATTACTTTTTTCTATTAACTCTTAAGTTTACTACAAAGGAAGGAAGCCCCTTTAAACAAAGGCAAAAAAAAACCCCAACCAACAAACCAGTCTTAAATATAGATGTGCTGACAACGTGAAGTCGTGGGGGAGTTGGCAGGAGCAGGCAACCTGCCCAAGAACACCTACCACTTACAAGCAGATAGCTGAGTAACTGCACTGCTTATTAACCTGAGACCTCATTGGTGTGAGTGGGCTGGGGGAGCCGTGGATCAGCTCGAACAGATTTTGCAGAAGATTGTGTGCATTACGTGTGTTTGGCCCCCGCTCTGTATTTCTAGGAGAAAAGGATGGCCAATCTTTCTTCCTGCTGCCAAAGGATGAGAGATCAGCGAGTCTGGAGGGAGTTCAACTGTCTGGTGTGGAAAACAAAGCCACTTGCAGAGTTAGGGAGGTCTGGAGAGGAGATCCCCTTCGGAGCATGAAGCCTGCCATAGGGAGAGGCAGGTGTTGGTGCTGAAGCGATGCCTGAGGAGGGTTGGGCAGGAACAGGAATTAGGGAATCACTAAGTATAAGGAAACTCCCATGTCCCAGGTCTGTGACAATGACCAAACCTGGCCAGTCTCTGTGTTCCCCAGCTGGCTGTGCTGCTGAGGGGCACCACGTCAGTGGGGTCGCTGCTATTACATACTCACACCGATTATTTACCTGTCAATAAAACCTCGTCCAGCCTCGAAAGGGAAAGGATTTTTTTCAACAGCTGCAGATTTTTTTTAATGCTTTCTAAAAAAATAAAATAAAATAAAAACAAAAAATAACAGGAAAAATATTAATTTGCCAAAAAAACCCCCACAAACCCAGGAAGATGAGCCGTTGTCTGTGGAGTGATGCATCACTGTAGTGGCTGGACTGGGAGCCAGCCAGGCACTCTGTGTGTCCAGCTGCCTTCCTGCCCATGTGTCACACTGCACACCTGAGGTGGCACGGGCTGCTCTGTCAGGTGCTGGGTGGGGTATGGGGAGCAGGGTGTTGTTGCCGTGTGGAAGAACAGACATCTCTGGCATTTCAGGCTAAGGGACTGAAATTTCTGATGGGCCCTTTTGGGTCCCCCCTTGTGGGCAAGCCAGGCTCTGTGAGCATTTCCAGAAGGCACTTTCTGAGGACAGTGATGCTTTTCAACTGTTTTCTTTTTTTTTTTTTTCCCTGATCCCTTACCCTTGGGTTTCCAAAGGCTTGGGGAGCCTGCTTTGCGCTGCATGGCAGGTCCTGCTCTGCGTGGGGACCAGCTGGCTCCCAGGGCAGGTACTGGTGGTGTGCTCTGCTGGCAGGGAGCTTCTGAGGTGAGAGCTGCATCTTGTGCCTGTCACAGCTTGGGCTGCTTCACCAGCTGATGTCGTGAAACCTTTCCCAGCACAAGGGCACCTTCTGTGGCCAGGGCCTGGGTATTCCCTTCAAACCACGCAGTGAGGAGGATGCTGTCCCCAGCCTGGTGGCACGCTGCTGGGTAGGACACACTGTCTAGCTGCAATACTTTGTTCCTCCTGCCTGCTGTGGGCTGGCTCCTGGCTGTGGCAGAAGCTGGGCTGTAGGGGGATGTTGTTGTGTCCCTCAGCTGATGTTTTTGGGTGACCTGAGCTGATGCTCTGGGGCTGTACAGTGTTGCCTAGCAGCAGCAGCGTGGGAGAGGGTGTATAAGCACATCACATCTTTATCGAGGCTGTTGCATCAAAAAAAAAGCTTTGTAAAAAGAGATTAGTCAGTGTGTGATTTCTCCCTCGAATTTCACACTGGTGTGACAAGGGTGATTAGGCTGGGTTCCAGCTGTGTGCAGCCTGGGCAGCTCTGGTGGTGTTGCTGCAGAGGTGGGTTGGACTGACTGACTGCAATAACTTTGTTTACTGGGGGGTGAGGGGAGAACCATCACTGTGCTCCTCTTTGTATTTCAACCTACTGTAAAGAAGAAATCTGGTAGCTAGGACAGGGTTTCCAGAGTCCTGCCTATCAAATGTGTGTTGCCCTGCTGTTCTCTGTGTGTGTGTGTGTGTGTACGTGTGAGAGAAACACTTCTGCTCGTTGCATTTCATGTTGGTTTGTGTTTTGTTCTGACTTTATACAAGCAAATTCATCAGGAGACTCTCTGTACACCTGAGGGCTTGATTTCCCCTGTGTGGAAAGCTGTTGTTGCTCTGAACTGCGTCTTCCATGCAAGAAAACATCCTGACTCCTCAGCCTTGTTATCCCAAAGGGAGTCCAGCATGGCAGGCCGGGCCTGCCTGTGGGCAGCTGTGTGCCCAGGGGGTCTGTGGTGTTTCCTGGCCCTGGAGGCAAGGGCTGGCATGCAAATTTGGTGGCACAGCTCTGATCAGGTTGTTGTGCCTCTGTTGTTTCTCCTGTGGAGCCACTTTGTGCAGCTGTTTCTTTCCCTGTCTAGAGTGGAAACAGTTTTCTGTCTCTAAGAAAAATGAGTGTCAAAGCACATGGCTCAGACTGCTTTGGGAAGGAGCTTTAGATCTGGTCCCATGAATGAGTGACTGATCTCAGGTTTCCCAACTTCCCCACAGTTTCTGGGGAAGTTTCTTGCTGGGAGTGAGCTCCACTGACCTGAAGGATCACCACTGTGGCATGAGGAAAAGTTTCTGGGGCAGCAGAGGGCCCGTGCCTGCAGAGCTGTGCCAGCCTGTGGGGTTGGGTGGTCGTGGCCATGTCAGCGAGTGCAGAAGGATGGCTTAGAGCAGAGAGCTCTGTGTTCAGCTCTGGAGAGTTTGTTTGGGCAGGGAAGGTACATTTCAAATGAAGAAACTCAGGGGGGCTATCTCCCTCATGCTTGCTTTGGAGCTGTGTGGTCTGACAGCAAAGGCAGGGCCTGGGGTGGGCAGCACCTGAGTGGATCTCTAGCCAGGAGGTGCTTTGAAGGTGGTGTCCCCTGGTGTGTCCCTTTCTGCATCCCAGAGCTCACCCCAGCCCCCCACAGGGCCGGTCTCTCCTGCCCCTCTGGCTGTGGCTTCTCGGAGCTCTGGTTTCTTTTCCAGCTGCTGTGGGCAAGGCCCCCGGCTGGCTCGGGGTGAGCTCTGGGAGTGGCTGGCTCCATGCTGAGCTGACCTAGTTTAGCAGCTCCGGAGAGCAGATGAAAGATGGAAGGGGTTTGTGGCATCGTGTTGCACCCTGAGTGCTTCCTGCTCCTCTGGCTTGAGTTTCCTGGAGACAAAGGCTGGGCTTGAGCCTTGCCAGCGCTCAGCCAGGGCTGCTCTGCTGTGGGCACTGGCGGTGTCAGGGACATCTCATGTGGCTGGTCCAGCTCCGTGCTGCAGTTCCCATCCAGTCCAGTTGTCACTTCCCGTGGCAGCGGTGACTGCAGAGCCCTCCTGAATTACACATGACTTCGGGGAGACCTGTGGTCTCTTTGGCTGTTTGCTGCTTTAGTTAGAACACAAGATAAAGCTTGCAGCTTTATCCTGCAGAGAGGGCAGGGGTAGGTGGCTGGCAGGTTTCTGGGGCTGAGATGTGCTTGTTTGCTTCCCATCATCACACTCAGCCAGGAACCACACTGCCCTGTGCTTAACCTGTGATTGCAGCAAAGGCCCTGTCATGTTTCTCACCAGCAGCATGTGCTGGCGGGAGCACTGGAGAGCCAGGGCACAGGATGGTGCACCTGGAGTCTCCAAAGTTGAGAGGGAAATCATGTCAAGAGGCAGCAGAACCAGTGGTCTTTTCCTGCTGCTTGGTGTGCTAAGGGACTGGGAAACTGGGATTAGGACAGTGGGGCCATGCTGCTGTAAAGGGCTTGGGGCCCTGGAGCTTTCTGGAAATTAGTTTGGATGGGTCTGTCCCCTTCATCTGGGGGATCTTGATCTCAGCAGATATTTGAGTGGTGGCATTTTAATGTAGCACTCTCTCTGGGCTTAACCTGGCAGGAGAAGGCCAGAAATGAGCAGCAGCATCTCCTGGAGGTTTCCTGGAGCCTCTTCAATGGTATTCTCATGGGAGATGTTCCTGGCAGGGCTGGCTCCTGCAGGAAGGATCACTCTGGTGCTTTGGGACAGATTGGGGCAGAAGGGGATGTGCCAACTTGTGAAGCAGCAGGTTGCTGGTTTCCTTAAAGAAGAGGGCCACTGTTCTGGGGCCATATCCAGCCAGCTGCTGGCTGCAGCCCTGGCTGGACAGTGGCTGGAGTGTGGCCTGCCTGGCTCTGGACGTGCCCCAGCCGTGGGGAAGTGCCTGAATTCCGGGGCTGCGTGCCACCAGGCTTGTCCGGACCGCGGCGTAAGAGGGGACGTTACCACTGTGTAGATTCCCGAGCTGTCCATCTGTTTCATTGTTGTATTGTTTGGGTTCTAGGGTTGTTTTTTATGAAGACAGATTAAATGTAAATAGCCTTTTTTTTGGAACAAACTGCAACGTGCTCGACCTCGTCAACTATTTTATGGTACTAATGCAACACTAATAAAACTGGACATGAAAGCACACACCCGTCCCCTGAGTCGTCTCTCAGCAGGGGCTGCTCTGGCATGCCCGGGGCAGTTGTTTGCAGGAGGAAACAGCAGCATGGCTTTCTGCCCTGGGGATTCTCTTGTGTTATTTATCCAGCTGCCACATCCAGGGCAGAGCTGGTGGATTGGCACGTCCTTCCCAGCACCGAGCCCTCCTGTAGTTTTTGCAGCCCTGCTGCTCTCCCAGCTGCCTTCTCTCCCAGAAGGATCTGCTCAAGCTCCTGCAGCTCTCCTGGATATGACAGCCCTCTCCTCTACTCAGCAGGGAAAGACCAGGCTGGTGCCTGTTTCTCATCTGGGGGCTGCATTGGATGGACACAGTGGTGTTGGGGTACCAAGGGGGGCATCTTGGGGGGAACACTGAGGCTGTGGGAGCCTGAAGCTGTGTGTGCTCCTGGGAGGACTGTAGGATGGACAGGGATGTGTGTGATTCCAAGAACCTGGGCTTGGTGCTGGGGAGTCAGAAGGTGAAGAGAGGAAGGAAAGAGGAGACCTAAGCTGTTGTTTTGAGGAAGGAAGGTGAAGAAGAAATTGTGAGAAATGGGCCTATGACTATGGTCCTTAGGATGCAGGATGCTGCAGGCAGAAATGGGAATGCTGTGCTGGAGCAGCCTATATCCTCACGCTGTCCTGACCCAAGGGTGAGGGGTGGAGGGGTGACAGCTGGTGGAGCAAAGAGCTGTGGTGAGCCCCTCAGAGCAGGCCAAGCTGCTCTCAAGGGACACGGGTCTCTGTGGACAGCTCAGATGCTCTGTGTGGCCTGGCCAGGTACAGATGCATTTATGGCCCAAGCCCTTTGCTAGAAGAGGGGACACAAAGCCCACACATGGTGGCACAGAGCAAGCATTGGATCATTCCAGGTAGGAGGAATGGGGGTAGCTCAGGAGAGGGCAAGATCAGTACTCTGGAGTGCAGAAACAGCACCTAAAGCCACGGAGGGGGTGGTGAAATGGCTGGTGGTGAAATGGGGGGGCACCATGGGAGAGCTGGGGGAGACAAACATGTGAAGGCTGTGTTCTGGCTGTGTATTTTCTGCACAGGTTCAGCTATAAACTTGCACTGATGGCCTGGCTCTATGAAAGAGGCACATCCTGAGCAACACCTTTTAGAACCCGTGGAGGAATTTGTCTCAGCAAGTGAATATGGGTGTGAGTGGAGAGGCCTGGGGTGGTGGGAAGGCTCGTGTGCTGCTGGGGGAAGCAGAGGACCAGCCCCACATCAGCAGGGAGAGCACCAACCCAAGTGCCCTTGGCACACTCTGCTGTTGCCTGGAAAAGAGGAGAAAGAAATGAGGGCTGGGTGGAACAAGAATGATTTTGGGTCAGAGTGTAGCAGGTTGCATGCAATGGGCCTGGAGAGCCTCCCTCATTCACATGCACTGGGACAGATGAATTTCTGCCAGGCAACCTAGGCTCTCAAAGCACTGGCATCTTTCTTTTGCAGGTCTGGGCCTTTCTCACACCTTGTGCTCAGACCTTCACTACCATGAGAGAGGTGTCAAATGCAAGTGCTGCCCTGCCAGGATGCACCAAAAGCCCTCTGGGAGGTCTGGGTTTGCACGGTGGGAGTCGGTGGCACCCGT